TTTTTTTTTTTTTTTTTTTTTTTTTTTTTTTTTTTTTTTTTTTTTTTTTATTTTTTTTTTTTTTTTTTTTTTTTTTTCTTCCCTTGCCCAACCATTTCTATGATGATTTTTTCCGCTTAACCCAGCTCACTTTGATGCGCCAAAGGCGTACTTGATGTAAACGGCGAAGTCTACAGTCTGAGATCTACTCCTACCATTGCCTCATTACTTATCAACTGTCGATTCAATGACTTGATTGCTGACCGATAATTAATAGTTCCACTGTCGCCGATATCAACCGCAACATGGCCGAGAACTTGCGCTTCTGTGGTCCTGCCCTCATTGCCAACGAGACTATGCTTCACAACGTGATCCAGATGGTCACTGATATCATCACCAAGCAGCATATCTGCCAGGTCGAGTTCGGCCCCGAGGAGGAGACTCTCGAGGCTGGTGAGGAATCTTCCGAGTTCGACTGGATTGTAGTCGACACTGCCTTGGACGTTGTCTCTGGCATGGCCGCTGCCATGGGCCCGAGCTTTGCCGAGCTCTGGAAGGTGTTCGAGAAGACCATCCTCCGCTACGCTGGTAGCACTGAGGCTCTTGAGCGCGCCACTGCTGTTGGTGTCCTCGCTGAGTGCATCAATGGCATGGGTGCTGCCGTGACCCCCTTCACCTCTGTCTTCTTGAAGCTGCTCCTTCACCGCCTCGCCGATGAGGACTCCCAAACCAAGTCCAATGCTGCTTACGCCATTGGCCGCTTGATTCAGCACTCCAATGCTGAGGCTGAGATCATCAAGGAGATCCCCACCATCCTTGCCCGTCTTGAGGCCTGCCTTCAGATGGACGTCTCGCGTCTCCAGGATAATGCTACCGGCTGTGTCAGCCGCATGATCTTGCGTTACCGCGATAGTGTCCCCACCAAGGATGTTCTTCCTGCCCTTGTGAACATTCTTCCCCTGAAGAACGATTACGAGGAGAACGAGCCCCTGTACCGCATGATCTGCCAAATGTACAAGTGGGAGGATGTCACCATCCGTGAACTCACCCCCAGCCTCCTTCCTATCTTCCAGTCGGTTCTCAGCGACGAGGATCAACTGGAGGATGAGCGTCGGGCCGAGCTTATCGAGCTTGTCAAGTGGCTGAACCAGATGCAGCCCGGTGTTGCTCCCTGGGTGGAGCAGTTGTAAACCGACTGCTCTGTTACGGATTGATGAACAAAAAAGGATTTATTTTAATGGATAGACGGATGGCTTGGAAGCCCGAATGACTAGACGATACCCCAGTCACTGCGGCGATGATTGATGAAACCCCTCAAAAGTTGCTGCTGTATATAGTGTGAATGAGTACATGCTTTGAATCTTTGACTTTGGATTTTTTCCGTAAAAGTGTGTTAGCTACATGCATATGTACCCTGTGTTTCCTATGTAGCCCTGTCTTGTAGATCACAATGTTTCAACTCCGGCGAGCAAGCTTCACCTCGACACCCTCCTGTCGCACAAAAAAGCTATTATGCGTCGTCCAATCCTTCTCCGGATGAGCCAGCTTGATATCGTACCGTGACACGAGAGTCGCAATCACCTTAAACACCTCCAGCAGACCAAGGTGCTTCCCTAGACAAATACGGCTTCCGCCGCCAAAAGTGAGGTCGAGCTTGTTCATTGATTGCAAACGTTTCTGGAGTGCATCTTCAGTCTCCGACTCACCGCGGAGCCATCTCTCCGGACGGAACTCCTCGGCATCTTCACCCCAGACAGACGGATTGCGCCCTACAATGTAGGGATTCATGCCAACGATCGACCCTGCAGGAACGAGGCTTCCATCGGGAAGGGCAAGTCCACCCTCTGGTACGTATCGCTCCAGGAGCATGGCGACCGCGGGATGACATCTCATTGCTTCCCGTACCACGGCATCTAGGTATGGGAACTGCTTGGCGAATTTGAAGGAGACCACCTTGTTTCCAGCGGTATGGTCGTGGGCGGGAATCTCGGTTCTTAGACGCTCCCAGACGTGAGGATGTTTCAAGGAGAAGTACAATGCTGCGTTAATGGTGACGCCTGTTGTGTCGGCTCCTGCAACCATGTTATTCATCAGGTAAGAGATGATTTGCGAGTCGTCCACCACCTCTGGGAATTTCTCCTTGGCCTCGATGAATTTGTCCAGAAAATCGGGCTTGCTGGGGTCATGGTAGTCGGTGTCCTTGTTCTGAAGCCGGTCCGTGAGGTGCTGGATTGATATGTTGGCGACGGTTCCGAAGGACGGCGGGCCAATTCGGTAGATGGGGTTTTTATCTAACAAATGATCCAGAATTGGCATTTGTCCCACCAGGGAAAAGTAGTCCATGGCGACATTCGCGATACTCAGGGTCTTGTCAAAGTCATACCCTTTTTCCAGGTATCCAATGGGTTGGCTGAAAGTGGCATTGCCAACCACATCCCAGGTATCTAGATGATTTATAAGTCTTGGAAAGGATTGATGCGATGGGCTTGAACTTACAATATGCAATCCATTCGCCCAAGTCGCACGTTCCAGTTTGGTTGGATCCATCGATGAATTTCTCCTCCAGACGTTGACACAAGTAGGAAATCATATCATCAATATGGGGCTCCAGTGGAAGAATCCCAGTCATGGAATAATGTTTCGAGACGGGCCGCTTCTGCTGTGCATGCAACTTGGGATCGCACTCGCTGAAGAGATTGTAGATGATCTTGCCGTTGTTCTTCGCACTACTGCCATGATAAAACTCGGTCTGTCACAGACTATGATCAATACTAGTGACAAGTAGCTGCCTGCAGTAAGATACACACCTTTAAATACTCCGATTTGATATTGTAAATTGTCTTGATCAACTCGGGGATATCCAGGTCGAGCACGTTAGGGCCAATGCGCACCACGGGGCCGTACTTTTTGTGTAGCTCGTGGATGACAACATGGTTATTTCCTTGGCGAACATGTAACATACGCCATAGGTTTGTCCAGCCTATGAGGTATAAGAGGACAATACGGAACGCTAAAGGGGTCTTAAGAATGATACTGCGACTCACCTGCGAGAAAGGGACCGGGATAACGGCGTAGCGGGGAGAGGAGATATGTCGTTAAATACCAGACTGGAAGGGCTATGAGAAACGCATAGCCAAGCATGGTGGCAGCATCTCTACTCCCGTAATCAAGCATCGCAAAAAGGCGATCTTTTAATATCGTGGAATGATATGTGACGGAGAGTTGACAGCTGGATACACTCTTCAGCCCTCAAACATCCGTGATATACAATAATATATAGACAGCCCGCGTATGCGCATATACCCTCTCACAATGTCGATCCCATGTGGCTCCGTATAAGGGCATGCGAATCAAAACGTGGCTAGTTGTCAAGCGAAGATAGCAAGATCCTCCATACTCCATATTGCTGGGCCTAGACTCAGCTGTGCATCAAAGTAGTCTCGTTAATACCAATAGGATAAACTCAACTCCAATTGACTTGCTCGAACGGGCCATCCTCCGACGATTGGCGAATAGACTAGCGCAAAGACACATAGACCCATCAAAATAGCGAAAAGCATGAAAAGGACGAAAGTACGAAATATGGAGTACCTCGTATACAATATCCAATTGGAAGTACCTAATTGGCTTTTCAAACTCCTCGAAGGAGCGCTACTACGCTGCGGGCCGTTTTCAAGCCTGAACGTCCCGATGATCTTTAATAAATAATATAGGCTATCACATAACGGGCTGGTATATGAATTACGACCCTGCAAGTGCAGAAATGAACGGATTGAGCGGCATGGAGCTGTCGCTGTTCTATTATAATCCGCGCGTGTACCGACTTCAAATGGTTTAGCCTTGTAGTTCACGGAGATCCTTTTTTTACTATTTCCAACTTATTGAGATATTGAAAGCAAGAATCTATTTGTTCAACAATGCCGTTTAGTTTCTCTATCTCTCAATCTAGCAAGCCCCGGGCGCTATTGTTCTGCAGCATTTGGTCTGATTTAACCGGCTTTCTGAATCTGGAAGATGTTGGCTGGGAAAGGCGTTCGTGCCATTTCCGTGCTGTGGGCAATGACTTTGCTCTCTTTTATTCTGGTCCTGCTCAGGCTCTACATCCGAGTCCATATTGTGAAAGCACTCGGGAGGGATGACCATATCTTCAATTTGGCCTAAGGTGTATTTTCCCATTCGCAAAGCACCCAAGACTAGACCTATGATAGAACGCTGACCTAATTATAGGTATTCCTACTCGTTTACACTGTCTTTCTCACGATTGCTGGTGTGCATGGATTCGGACAATCGATAGATACCTTGGAGATGGACTCAGCTGTGAAGGCCGTGTATAATGAAATGATTGGAAAAACATTTGCCATATTAGGAATGGCGATTGCGAAGATCTCGCTGGGAACTTTCCTGCTTTGTATTGTTATCAAGCGATGGCATCGTATTTCAATATGGACCTCGATGATCAGCTGGTCGATTGTGTCGATGATGACCGCCCTTATCTTCTGGTTCCAGCGTGTTCCGTCTCGATCTATACGGGATCATCGCGTCCCAGGGTATACTGTTGTCCCAGTCACCCCTTTCTCCGTTATGCTTGGATGTATGTTCGATATCTCTTCGACTGTTTGTATGAGATGTCTATACTGATATTGATAAAATCTAGGCTGGTGTGCTGCCGTGGACTTTTATTTTACTCTTCTTCCGTGGATCTTCATTTGGAATCTTAACATGAAATTCAAGGAAAAGATGTCTATCGCGATCAGCTTGAGTCTGGGCTTCATGTGTGTATCACATCCGATTCTTCATGGATACATACTCATCCTCGTTTCTAGAGCCTGCATTTGCGGAATTATCCGAACTATTGACCTGGGCGGGTTAGCCAGCTCCAACTACACCGGTAAGCCACCTCCTCGCGTCTAGATCCAATGCCACCAATCCCTTTTCTAGAGGACACTGTTAACCTCATAATCTGGTCCGCCGTTGAACTGGCTGTCACTCTTATCTGCGTTGGCATCCCCACCGTCCGCCCGTTATATCGCACCATCGTTCATGGATCGCATTCGGAGAGCTCAGAGGGCAAGTATGTCAGACCTCGTTATAGTCGGAGCGATGAAGAGATTCTGGTGGGTCAGTATGGAAGCAGTAATGACGGTATTCGTGTTCACGAAGAGGTGCGAGTGGAGAGAACTTCAAGCTACGTCGCCCACTCCTGTGACTGAGAGATTCCCATGTAAATGATGCTTCTTGCTACTAGACTAGTAGCGAACCACTGCCTCGGTTATCTGAATGGGATGAAGACGGTGTTATTACAGAGTGAAGCCATACTAATTAGAGGGCAAAGTATCTTTCTTTCTCTACTACTTTGCTGAATTATTCTAACTCGTGCGCTTATAGACTCAATCCTATGTTGGCATAATATCCCTATATTCCCGTGACGTGTGTGGCGGGTCCATTTTGATTCAGATAATAAAAGATGTTATGGCCTAACAACTCTTAGGCTCGTATCTCTTGTTCTTGGGAGTTAACGAGGTCTAAGTGGGAACATTTAATAACCGACTGCCTGTCGCCTAACTTTTTCATCTTCCCCCTTTCTCCCAACCCACTGCTTAAAGCCCTATACCCGTGTTTGTTTTTGCAGGTACGATGTTCTGTGCTTTCTAACCTACCGGCTTTTTGTTTTCTCGCTCGGACTTGACTGACAATCTCCAATAGATCCAAGCCTTTATCCTCCACCATGGCCGTCACCTCTATTTCAATCCCATTCGACTGCATCCTTCCTTCCAGCAGCTCCGGTAGCTCCATTACAAAGCCCATCAAATCGGTCTCTAAGCCATGCTTTGGCTGTGACTGCGGCGATGAAGAGTGCGATTTCTGCATATGCACTGTGATGTGAGCTGCCATTCGTCTCCCTCGAGCTTGGACGTGTTTTATTGTTTGGGGATTCCGGTGGCGATGGTCTGATCGCAGGTGGAGAAGGCAAGACAAGGAAAATATACGGGGAATCTGTCTTTTGTCCTTGGACGACGTAATTTCCAAGCGAGCCGCCCACCCAAAACACATAGTAAATGCGATATCTTGTAACTTCATTCTATAACTTTAAATTATAGCAGCCAACCACTCGATATCGGCTGTTTTGCGGTCTCCAAACGGACGTACGGTCGGTTGGTTGCAACGAAAATGCGGCATGGGATCAACCATATTGATAAACTTGACTTTCTCGAAGCATACCCTGCCGTACGAATTGAAGCTTCTAAATCAGAGACAATCAAAAACAGCTTCTCGGCAGCTGGTTGAATACCCTTTTCACCCGATCGGGGTTTCAAAACTGAACACTCGTCTTCGAATATCAACCGCCCCTAGTAGGGCTAGCGATCCAAGCCGGAATTCTACATATAAATACTATCCAAACTAATTGACATCAATGGCTCTATCACTTCGTCTCATGGACCTCGGCATGACGTGGCTGAGTCAGCGGCTATTTTGTCAGCGGCTTTCGGACCCAGCCATGTCCACCGACACATCCTTTGAGCTTATTTTTTGCTGAAGACATCTCAACTATACAATGGATCATGGATCTAATGCCTCGGATCAGCCACGGACACGCACTGCTCGTGCCTGTGATTCCTGTTACAAAAGAAAGGTAGATCGTTCATCGTCAACTCTCGATCCCGTCTAAACTGGTCCTAGATCAAATGTGATGCTGCAATTCCGCAGTGTAATTGGTGCAGCCACCATAATATTCCCTGCACATTCGACAGAGTAGTACAGAGGAAAAGGAAAAGGGACGACGAGGGGGGGTGAGTCTGTATCTCGAGCTTGTTCTTCTATGTGTCTGACGTTGAAGATAAGACGCCCCAAAGTTTCACGACTATCGGAGCGAATTAGTCGCATCGAGCAGCTTCTTGCAGAGAATCTACTGGGTGATCAAATATCTGGTTAGTGCCTCTTCAATATGCAGGCCTAAGAAGTACCCCGAAACTAATTGGCAAAAGTGCCTGGAGATTCGCCTCGATCTTTCGAAGTCAATACGACGGCCAGCAGCTCCCCAAGTAACACTCAGCTTCCAGACTCATCGTCAGTGCGAGTTCACTTTGCGGGCAAAGAGTTGGGTGTCATCAGTTTACTCACTGGCACGCCGTTCCTCTTTCCCGAAGGACAGGAATGGATCGAGGCTCGCACCGGACAGCACGTTTCAATTGATAAACTTAGTCCAGCCCGAGCGCCTTGGGATAAGGAGCGCGGACAGACCTTGAACTCGGTTTTGATGAACATGAACATGAACACTTCCAATCCCTATGAACTTCCCGACTGGGGAACAATGCAGGTGTACTTTCAGGCATATAAGAGCTCCAACGTGATGCGGCGCATCTTTCCTGTTATAGACCCGGAGCTTTTTGAAGAAACCATCCGAACAGCTTACAGTCATTCGCTGTCTACCTTCAGATATGGCCAGGCTAGCGCCAGAGTTTGTGTCATTGCATTTCTTACCTTTGTTTCTCGTCTCCCTGACGTCAAGCACATTGTCAACACGACTACTGCGACGGCTGCAATCGATCATGATCTACTTGCTACCAAGGCAAAGTTCTTTATGCCGCAAGTATTACAGGAGTCTGCCAGTCTGGACGCAGCGCAGGCTGTTACCATATTGGTAAATGAGCTACTCTAGTGTATAATTTCGATAACTAACCGATGAACATAGACTCTCTTCGAATTATCTTCGGGAAATATGCGGACCACCAACTATTATGCGGCGCTTGCTGCGCGACTCATTTTCATGCTGGGTGGCAACCGGCTTGACGGTCAGGCCATCTCGACGGATGAGCGCAGCCAGCAAGAGCATTCACAACTACGGAATATCTTCTGGATTTGCTACACGATTGATAAGGATCTTGCACTGCGCACGGGTCAGCCGCCTACCATCACTGACGAAAATTGTGATCTGACACTACCTCCGGGATATCTCGATCGAGCATTCTTGGACGTGGAAAACGAAGAAGTCCCATGGTACGGTCCAGTATTTCCATTCGACTTGCGCCTGAGCATCATCAAAGCCCGGGCCCATCGAGAGCTATATTCAGTCGGCTGTCTCCAAAAATCAGACGCCGAGCTGCTCAAGTCAATCCGAGAACTCGATGACGCGCTAGAAGAATGGCGGCTATCAGTCCCTCCTAGATGGCGTCCAACCATGTCATTTTCTTCCGAGACCTCGGATCCGAACATGCGTATGCACACCGTCATGCTGCGTCTGAACTATCACCTATGCATGACCATCATCCATCAAGCGAGTGGAAGATGTAAAGCGTGGATGCAAGGACAAAGCGGTATGATGGATGGGGTGAGTTCAAGTATGGCGCTTTCGGTAGAAGCCAGTCGATCAAGTCTATGTTACCTCGAGGCGGCAGAACATGTGGTAGTCGATGGGGTTTTCTGGTATGTGATTTTCGTCATGCTATGTACTGGAACCCAAGCTTATCCTCCTAGGACTCTGATCTTCTACCCCATGTCCGCATTGCTCACCATCTTCTGCAGTATTCTTCAGAACCCATTGGATCCACATTCGCGTGAAGACCTGGGCCGATTGAATGTCGCCACGGTCATGATTGAGCGTATTTTCTCGCGGAAACTACCTGCAACTGAACTTGGCCATTTCAAATTGGTCGCCGATTTCATTGTGGAGTTGAAGCGACTGGCCGAATGTGCCATTGACAAGGCCTGGGCGGAGCAACGCGCCGCTTCTCATTGATTTGCATTTTGTTATTGTTATTTCACTCATTGGCTACTTTAGCGTGAGGAGTTTATTGGCTACGGTACTTAGAATTGACAAAATAATAATGTAGAAGGAAGAGCAGTCATTTGCATTGCATTCGGTAGAAAGGGTCAGACCAGTGTACAATATAATGATATGCGATATATGATACTGCCTGTAGTTGTAAGCAAGAAGCTCCGGCAGACATTCACGAAAACCGGCATGTTGTTGGCCTCTCGAGTGGTTTAATGGGACTTCGAGAGTGCCGGTCTTAGATAGTTCAGTATTCTAAAACGAGGCGCCCTTGATAGCAGGTTGCTAGAACATCGGAATGTCCCCAAGATATTGGCGTGGTTCAATATCTGCCTTGGATGATACGAAGCGCGCGATCCTTCCATCGACACATCATATTTGACAGCCCAGTGAGCATTGCGTGCCCATGAGACCTGGATAGAGAACCCGAGGGACGATTTGTTGGATGCTGATGAATACTCGATTCGAGATTCCTCCGTGGTAGGCTTTTCAACGAAGCTGACCTTCGAAACAATGTCACATTTAAACACGTAACGCAGGAATGGTTCAGTCGTTCGACTCGGAGAAGGCAATACTGTTCAGATTCAGAGAAACCAGCCCGTTGCTGGATTCAGTTTTCTTTGTCGAGTAGAGCCCAGATCAGCCGAGAGTGCTCATCGGCCTTTTCTTTCAGCGCTTTGGCCTGGTCGGTATCGTCTCCTGACCCAGTAGTAGCCATGCGGCTGCCCTCCGCTTGCAGCTGCTCTAGTACACTCTCAACCTCCGCTTTGACCTTGTCCATTTGCTTCATTTCCTCTCGGCTGTGGTTGAGCTGCTCTTCCATCATCATGATGAGTGATTCGCGCGCTTGGTGTGGACGGTAGAGGTTGAGAAGGTGGTGTGCATTGATGAATAAGTTGCGCAGGTCTTCGACCTTGGATTCGAATTGTTCCGGCGAAACCGATAGGATACCGGTGAACTCTAGGAAATTAAGGAGCAGGGACTTGCTGATCTTGAGAAGGTAGTATGCGTGATTGAGAGGGGGTGATGGCTGCGAGTTCTGGTCGGTACCGGCTGCGGGGGGTTCTGGGTAGAGTTGTTCGATGCCTTGCTCTTGTAATGACGGCAATGTTGTAGACAGCTATTTCAGAGTCAGTATTGTCCGGCGCAGAGCTCAGATGTAGGGGAACGAACGGTTTGCAACTCGCCAAAGACGCTGTATTGTCCTTCGGGGATGTCGGGCGGCACTAGGTACCGGAGCTCTGAGGGGAGCTCCAGAGCGCGCAATTCAGCTGCGGACCACTGCTTGTGCTTGTTCAACCGTCCATCCTCGCCCTTGGAAGCTTCAGCTTTGATCTGTTCCAGCTTGTCGATATTCTCACGCGTGAAGTGTTTCCATAAGGGCGGCGGGGGCGCAAATGCCGTGGTCACAGCTCGTTGTTGGCTCTCATCGGCCATACCGACTAGCACGAGGGTAGGAGATGTGAGAAAGGAGAAAGAAATTGAGCCAAGTGAGCAGAGTTGAAGTTTCTCCGAGTTGTTTGGAAGACGGAGCGGTGACGTGGTCTGTGCTTCCGCAATGTGTCGAATGTCAACTTGACCTTTTTCCAATCTCGACATGCGCCCAGTCAAGATCTGAAGATCTCTCTGGCGTCCTCGGCAGTTGTGCAGGATGCCTCACAATGGTTCGGGGAACGGGTCGACCCCGATTCTACAACGTGTTGGACTCGCTGGTGCTGCAGCTCGCTTTGCGCAACGCACCTATGCCGCCGACTATATCGCATTGGGGTTTCTAGTAGCAGGATGGGTACTGGTAAGTCGCAAACGATCTAAATCATGGATCTGCACATTTTTAATACATGAATAGATTCAATTATTCGTGAACCCGTTCCATCGCATGTTTTCGCTGGATAACAAAGCCATTCAGTACCCGTTCGCTGTCCACGAACGAGTTCCTGTTTGTAAGTCAATTGCCAATGATGCAGTCTGCTTCACTTGTTTCTAACCGGAGTAAAAGTGTGGTCGGTCATCTTCGCTGGTCTGATTCCTTTTTTGGTGATTCTCGCCTGGTCCGCAACATTTCGCGCCGGTGTGCATAAGACGCAAGTGACAGTACTCGGACTATTCGTGGCTTTGATGTTGACCTCGTTCCTGACGGACATAATAAAAAATGCAGCGGGGAGACCACGTCCGGACTTGTTATCGCGCTGCAAACCCTCCCGAGGTACATCGAACAATGCGCTGGTCGCATGGACTGTCTGCACAGAATCGAACCAGCACATTCTACAAGAGGGATGGAGGAGCTTCCCTAGTGGGCATAGCAGCTTCTCTTTTGGCGGGCTGGGCTATTTATATCTGTAAGTGATTCTGATGCGCAGCGCTGGGACACTCCATCTAACAATCGTCACTTTATAGCTTCTTGTGTGGTCAAATGCATGTTTTCCGTCCTCGAACGGATCTTGGACGCTGTTTACTTGGGTTTTTCCCCTTGTTGTGTGCTTTGATGGTCGCCCTGTCCCGTCTGGCCGATTATCGGCATGATGTATATGATGTGACGTGTGGAGGACTCTTGGGCATGCTGATAGCCTGGTTTTCATACCGTCGCTACTATCCACCGCTGCGGTCGGTCATGTGTGACGTTCCTTATGACAAAGCTGATATTGCTGGACCCGATGGCTTTGCTAAATTCGATGATGAGGAGGCTCTTGCGCGGCCCTTTATTTCACGCGCTGATCCCTCGGAGGAAGGCTATCAGCTCCAGGAGATAGAGCCATCTCGATGAATCTAGCGCTGACTTTTAGGCATAATATGATTTTTCTACCCTGGAGTATTCACTCGCACCATCAGGGACATTTGCTGTTGGGCCCTTATTTAGACATCTGAAAGGTAACAACATAGGCCTCCCATTGCTCTCACATGTAATGTAGAACTTTTCCGTAACATATCGCCGAGGTGGAAAGTGATTCGAGATGAGGTCTAGTCAAAACATCTATTATTTTGGTCTATTGGGTCGCTCACTCCTTGTCTATATGGTATTCCCAAAAGCCGAACCAGTGAAACAACATCATTTCACCACATAGCTAACTCGTGAGTTCCCTTGCTTTCTCGAAATCTTCTTGACCGTCACAGGTCCACACAAATCTGTCGTATCGACATGCGTGCCTCCGCAAGGGTACACTTCAGCACCGACGATGTTGACCACACGAGACTTTTCACCTGCAGGCACCAAGCTGCGGTCAGGAATCAATCGCTCCAGTCCACGCGACCGGAAATCCTCTTCATCCCACCATTCGATTTGGACAGGCATCTTGGCGGCGATATATTCATCCAGCTTGTTCTGGATAGGGTCCTTCCATTTCCCTTCAATTGAGCCTTGAAACTCGCATGCTGCAGAGTCGGGGAAATGTGAGGCTTTCAGTTCATCAAAGTTCTCAATCTCTTTCTCCAAAAGATGTCGGACTGATGCGCCTAGGACGTGGCCTGCAGTATGCAAACGGGAATATAGTTGACGTTTTTCCACATCAATTGCCTGCTCAACGGTCTCGCCTTTGTTGAAAGCGGATGACGAGTCCTCGAAGAGACCGAGGTGAAGCACCTGTCCCTTGGCATCCGTGCGAACAGCCGTGACTGTGAAAGTGCCAGATGGGCCTTTTAATACGCCCGTGTCGGAGGGCTGACCGCCGCCTTGGGGGTGGAAAATAGTCTTCTCGGTGACAATGACATGGTGTTCCTCGCTGGCGTCTTTGAAGAGTAGACGATCGGATTCTTCGAGGTCCTTGAAAGGGAAAATGGCCGTCACGGTTGTTTCAAGAATATGGAGACTGGCATCATGCTGGAAGACCAGAATGGTGCGAGTTGAAGCCATGTTTTGAATATACAGGTTGGCGAGAGGAAGAAAAGAGTTGAGGCGGGGAAAAGAGGAGATAAGCCGAACAGGAAAATCCCCAAACATCTCACTGATATATTTGGGGCTTCAAGTGAGTTTTGATTCGTGTGATTATAATATACTATGGGCTCTAGTGCTTACCTTCCTATGATACATAGAGGTCTATTTCCGTTCTAACCTTTGGAGGTGAAGATATTCCGGCTATTCTTTACCTTAGCGATTGACCAGCCGATCTTTCCGGTTATTCTTATATCTTAGCGAATATCATGCATTGCGTTATCTGGTCTTGTCTGTGACTGGTTGGCTGATATATCTTGCAGTTCAACTTATAAAAGCCCAGGTTTATCACGCTGTCTTTATTATCCTCGTTCACCTCTTAGATACTTCCATTATGTCTGATACGCACCCTTTTGATCCTCTTGTGCCCCAGGAAATTACCAAGGTAAGTCAAGTCGTTTTAATTAAACAAAAGTTGAATGTCGTATCAACCATATTGTAGGCCGCAAAAGTTGTCCAAGAGCTACTTCATGAAAAAAGCTTCAACTTTCGCTTCATCACCTTGAAAGAGCCACCGAAGCAGGAGATGATAGTATTCTTAGAGAGAGAACATCTTCACCAGCCTCAAGTCTCCCGACCTGGTCGTATCGCTCACATCCAAGTGGTCGTTCGTGGCGACTCGGGGCCAAATGAACTCACCGAGCTTGTAGTTGATCTGGACCGGAGTGTTGTCATTCAACAAGAGACCCTTGTGGGAAAACACTCCTTCATTGACTCGGCTTATATGAAAGATGTTGAGAATGCTTGTATGGCAGACGAGAGGGTACAAAATGAAATTGGAAAGTTGAGGTTACCTCGAGGGGCTTCGGTCGTTGTCGAACCGTGGGCTTATGCCACTGATGGCATGAACGACATGTCGGAACGGACTAGCATGGTCAGTACATGTCTGATAAGATTCGCAATATCTCAATCCCAGCTAACATAGATGAATAGTGTTGGTTTTATATGCGACTAGTGGACAATCCCGACGCCAACTATTACGCATATCCACTTGACTTGTGTGCGGAGGTCTCTGAGCAGCTCAGGGTGACCAAGGTCTACCATTTACCTTCGTCTGCGAGCGAGAGTGTTCATGAAGAAGCACGGCTGTACGACCCCTGCAAGATCCATCCCACTGATATGAGTGAATACCATCCCAGTCTGCGACCACCACCGCGCACAACCACCAAGCCCTACCAGGTTGTCCAGCCAGAAGGGGTTTCCTTCAAGTCACACGGAAACCTATTGACCTGGGAGAAATGGACTATGCGCGTGGGCTTCAATTACCGTGAGGGTCTCACGTTGCATGACATCCGCTATGACGGTCGGAGTCTCTTCTACCGGCTGTCATTGGCAGAGATGTTTGTGCCATACGGGGATCCTCGTGCTCCGTATCCACGCAAAGCTGCATTTGACCTTGGGAACGACGGGGCTGGGATCAACGCAAACAACTTATCGCTTGGATGTGATTGCCTGGGACTGATCAAGTATTTTGACGGATGGCACAACACTTCCTCGGGGGAACCCTTGAAATTGCCCAATGTCATCTGCTGTCATGAGCAAGACGATGGGATTTTATGGAAGCACACAAACTTCCGTACGGGAAATGCCGCGGTGGTCAGATCACGTATCCTAGTGCTGCAGACCATCATCACGGTCAGCAATTATGAGTATATCTTTGCTTTCCACTTTGGCCAAGATGCTTCGATTCATTATGAAGTCCGGGCCACTGGGATCTTGTCTACCAGTCCCATCAACATCGGTGACGAAGTTGGATATGGCACCATTGTTGCTCCGGGTGTCCTTGCGCCATATCACCAACACTTGTTCTCTCTCCGTATCGATCCTGCGATTGATGGAGTTGCAAACTCGTTGCAGGTTGAAGAGTCCAACCCTTTGCCCTTTAACGACCCATCTGTCCGAAATCCGTTCGGGGTCGGGTACACAACACATTCAAGGATTGTGACAGAGGAGGGAGGGCTAGATCTTGATTTTAACAAGAATCGCACGTTCAAGATCATCAATGAGGCGAAAGTCAATCCTATCACCGGTACGCCGATTGGATTCAAAATTGTTCCATGCTATAGCCAACTGCTACTGGCCCATCCAGAGTCTTTCCATGCAAAGCGATCTGAATATGGAAACCATGCAATCTGGATCACCCGTTATAACGATGACGAGCTTTTCCCGGCCGGAAAACATACTATGCAATCCCTTGGCGGCGAAGGAATCGACTCAGCCATTTCTCAGCGGAGAAAGGACCCGGACTCCAAGTCAACAGTGCGAAATGAAGACATTGTTATTTGGCACACATTTGGATCCACGCACAATCCGAGAATCGAGGATTGGCCAGTGATGCCCTCTGAAAAGATGACGGTTGGTCTCAAACCGGTCAACTTCTTTACGGGAAACCCGAGTTTAGATGTTGCTGTGTCAAGTCAAGAGGATAACAAGAGTAGACTTGTTGAATCGGCGTTAACAGCATGTTGTTCTCCGAAAGTGAATTGATAAGGCAAAGGTTGGAGTTCTCAAGGGTTGCACTCTATGGCGGGGTGGATCCACGTGTCGGGTCGTCTTTCCTTCTGGGGTTCGGGGCTTGAACTTCGTCTGCTTGTCATTTGATAACCCCTTAGCCTGGACCTGGACCTTTGCACTACTTAGAAAATTACAAATTCACTTCCAATGACTTCCAGGAAACCAAAAGTCCAAATTCTACTCTCCGTGGATTTCGATGCCGTCTCGGGCTTCCTAGGGACTGGTGCTTCGGCTACAACCAATCTGGCCGATTATAGCAGTGGCTTTTTCGCAGCTCAAGTCGGAGTGCCACGCTTATTGCGTCTCTTTAAGAAACATGGAATTAGTTCCTCGGTGACTTGGTTTGTCCCCGGTCATTCAATGGAATCATTCCCAGCAGAGACCAAAGCAATTGTTCAATCGGGCGCTGAAATCGGTTGCCATGGATATGCGCACGAGGGCTCCAGTCAAATGACTGAGTCACAGGAGAGAGAGGTCATCGCCAAATGTGTGCAGCTGGCAACCGACTTGACTGGAAAGCAACCTCGAGGATGGAGAGCACCATTATATCAGTTGCGAACACACACCATTCAAGTTCTAGAAGAGTTTGGATTTTTATACGGTATACGACTTTGCTCATATTATATGTGACTATCAGGAAACTGAATTCAGACAGATTCATCCCTCACGCATCATGATTCGGCGTTGTACTTTGTCCCTCGAATGTCAGAGCCCAAGGCCATTGACTTCTCGCCTTCCAAGTCTGCTTCTACTTGGATGAAGCCCCTCCCCGCTCCTGCAGCCAGAACTCCGCGGAGTTTGGTTGAAATTCCGTGCAATTGGTATATGGAGGACATGACTCCAATGCAGTTTCTTCCAGCGGCCGAAAACTCGCACGGGTTCGTTAGTCCGATCACCATTGAGCAAAATTGGAAGTCGCGGTTTGAGTTCCTTTACAGTGAGGCTCTCGAAAAATCAATCGAGGAAGATTCCGAGCAAGGCTTTGTTTTTCCTTTGGTGCTGCACCCAGATACTAGTGGAATGGCTCATGTGGTTGGGATGATTGATCGAATGATTTCGTGGCTCAAACAGCGGGAGGTTGAATTTGTGACATTTGGCGAGTGTGCGGCAGAGTGGAAAAAGAATCACGCTTAGGGATAATGTTCAAACTATTTCCATGTAACCTATACACATCATCATCATAGTATACGGATATAGGAGTGACAGTCGAAAATCAGTTGGAGATTCGGCGGGGCGGCCAACGCTTATCCGCCACCCCCAATTTTCTTTACCAACTCCAACTACCCACCTCACATACTATTTTTGGCCCAGGCTGGTTCATACCATGTGAAGTTTATATATACGGAACTCGTATGCCACGAAGAAAAGCTGCAGACCGCACAGGTCCGGTGAAGACCCGATCTCGCGATGGTTGCAAAGAGTGTCGGGCGAGTCGTGTCCGATGTGACACCAAAAAGCCCCTTTGCACACGCTGCCAGGAGAAAGGATTTCCATGTACGAAGAATCTAGTTTTGAAATGGGAATCGGAATTCATCAGTCGGGGAGTGGCTTTTGGGCGTGCAGGTGTTTGGAACAAAACCGGCGCAAATCAACCTACATACGGCTCGCTTTCGGAAACGCACGAGTGGTGCCCAGTGCCAACCATTAGCCCTTGGGGCTTCATAAACAGCCGTGTGTCAACTTTTGCACACCCAGACGAAGTGAACGTTGACTTCGACGAGTGGAATGCATTGATTTCAGTTACCCAATGCTCAAACTCACCATCTTCCAGAAACCACCAAATATGGTCCTGGTTACAAAACTTCTCACATCTCAGCGGGGTTAGCATGAATTTCAACACCAGCCTCCCTCCGTCTCTTGCGCTATTTCCAGAGCTATCCAAATCTGGGCACGGAGAGCTGTTTGATTACTATCTTCAACAAGTGTGCCCTCGCACAACCGCCAGCTCCACATTATCTTCGCCGTTTGTCTCTGTGATTCTGCCATTGTGTTTATCGGCTTCTCCTACGCTTTTCAAGGCCATCCAAGCATTGGGCGCATGCCACTGGTCAAGGCTCAATCCAAGCTATAGTGCAATCGGCCTGCGTTATAAATCAGAGACTCTGAGGGACCTTCGTCAACGTCTCTCGTCAGAGGGAAGCTTGACATGCTCCATGGACCCCGAAGTACTGGTTATCATGATCATGCTATGTCTTTACGAGATAGTCGACAAGTGTGATCAACAATGGATCATCCATCTCAAAGGCGCCAACGACTTAATCCAATTGCGAAGAAAACAGCAAATGACATTATTGCAGTCAACAGCCCCATCGGATCCTGTGACGAGCTTTGCAGAGCAATTTTTTGCCTTCCAGGATGTCATGGGCCGAACCGCCTGTGCCAAAGAGGTCTTGTTTGGTACCGACTACTGGAAACCGGACGAACACAACATCGATCTTTGGATGGGATGCAGCCCTGAATTGGTGTCAATCCTCGCCAAAATCACAGATATGAGTCGAACAAGGAGACAACATACGTCTGATGCGGACAAGGCGTCGTTCTCACTACGTGCAGCCTCCCTTGAACGCCAACTAGAGAACTTAGTCCAAGAGATGGGGAAGGCTGACGAAATTCTTGGACTGGTTGCAGATGCTAAGCGGCTGGCTGCAATGCTTTACTTACATTGCTCTCTGTACGGGGCTGGTCCCGCCACACCTTTGGTGAAGACTTATGTGCGCCAGATTCTGCGACTCATATCGGACCTCCTTGGCCGTAAATCGCTAGTCAATGTGACATGGCCAGTCTTTGTGGCAGCCGTGGAGCTTGATCCATCTGACGATGAGCTCTTCCCGGAATCGGAAATGGAATCAAAGTCGGGACGAGCGATTGTGCTACGTTCCCTGGCAACAATGGCCGATTCAACGATCTCGAACATTGCTAGAACACGGGCAGTGATCACTAAGCTATGGCAGACACGCGATTCGGATTTGATCAAGGGGAGCGTTCTGCAAAATCAATGCAATGATTGGGAATGGCATGTGGTGCCAATCAGCAATGCCATGAGTCTGGCGTGAGGGCATGAGAAAGAATGAGCATGTGGAATGTCTGTTCGTTCATTCGAAAGCATTGAACTATCGATTTCATATTTCTCTGTTCAGTTGTGTAGCACATAGGAAGTATACGATTGTATAATGTAGGTCACTACTCCGTAACAGAAGCGACTTGGCCGGATCGGGTTAGCGCACGTCATCTGATCTCGTTAACCGCTCAGAGCCAGCGACTTGCAATGCAATGTAGACCTCGCCTCGATCCGAATACTGTGGATATTCTGTCATTAACCACAGCGCATGTGCTCTCCGGGCATTACTTGTGGAATTGACCGGATTTCCCTGCCTCGGTGCCGACAAATGATGCCCTTCAACGTGCACCCTTGCTCTTTATCGCCATATCAGACCAAAGTGACTTGAATATGGCGCAGGTGCGACCTCCAGCGCCAGGGCGCAGTACATCAGCCCACGGGTTTGAAAGCAAGCTCAGTCAACAATTATCTCAACCCCATGAAACTGATCTAGAACACCAACTTGAACCGTCGCGTTCTCCCAAGTCGCGTTCATTATCCGATGCTTCCAGACCTACATCCTCCACTCAACCATCCACTGGTGATCTCAGTCGGGCATCAAGCAAAGACGACAATGCGATACCCGTTCTCCCCGCAACACCTCGAAGATCAAATGCATCTTATTCAAACCTCTCGCTAAACTTGCCTTCCAAACCCGCCGTGTCATCACTTACGAACTGCGCCCCTCTCTCTCCTAAACTTGACCCATCACATATCTACGGATCTCCGGGATCTGTTCTCCCTCGACGATCTCGGGGCCTCGACTTCTCACGCGCATGTACGAATCTCCACCATTCCACCCTAGCCGAGTCGTCCCCAGATTCATCTCCCACCGTTGGAGGGCGGGGCATGGCAATACCCCAGCGACGCGGATCGCTTGGAGCGACATCCGGTCCGCCTTTTTCAACATCAGGTCCGGCGGACCGTGCAACAATCTCAAGCTCCATGTCGAGTGTGAATATGATAGAGTCGGACACAAGTAGTAGCGAGGAAGAGGATGAGTCCATGGCTGATCGCGACGATGTTATGATCAATACGCCGCAGGCGACTCGCATAAGTGCGCCGAGTCCGTTTGCCAGCAATATGCAGAGCCCTGGCAACGACTGGATGGGAGGGTACTCACAAGCTGCCGCCAGCTTGATGAGTTTCCAACGCGCGCGCTTTCGCAAAGGCCGTAGTCGCCACAGCTCTAGCAGTGCGAGTGGAAACAGTACGAAACCTAGTCCTACCCCTCACTCTCCGCCCATCATGAAGAGTGTCGAGCACTCTAGTGGTTATTTTGCTCCACGGCAGACTGCGCATTCACGCAGAGAGAGTCTCAGCTTTGGCACACGCGACCTACGTTTGTCCGATATGAGCGACGATAGTGAGAGTCGCACGACGCGAAGCGGAAGCCCAATTCCCACTCCACGTCCGGAAGGTGGAGGTCCACTGGGGGTAATCCGTCGTGCGGTGACCCGACGTGGGAGCTTACTTGTAAGTGGGTGCCTTTAATTCAGTGGTCTAGAAGCTAACTACAGTAACAGCCCAAAACCAAGACCTTTGCGCGCATTCGTGCTGCTCTGATGGAGGAGGGTGCTCCAGTTGATAGCGATATGAAACGAGAAGCAGAAGTGGTCCGGCAAGTCCGCGACACCGAACCTGAGCCCACCCCTGCACTCGGCGAATTCCCATCATTGCGGCCCTCGACCTCATTGGATTCGACGGCAACAGAAGATCCGGCGGTCAGAGTGGGAATGGACACAGGATCTACGGATACTTTTGGCAAGCAAGCCAGTCGCAACTCGGGTGGCCTCGAGTTTTGGAACTCGTTTGATGGACGATACCGAACCCCACCCCCGGTTCGTCAGGGAGGTCCCTCGTCTGTGGCAGATGAAGATATGTTTATGGATATGACTCCGTCTACGACCATGGGCTCTGTCACCGCGGAATCTTTCAAGCAGCGTTCCCGCTCTTCCACGCCCCATGCTCCGGGTATGCCAAGTATTGGAGAGATATGTCGCAAGCGGCGTCGTGACGATGACTTCGATCCTAATCTTTTCAAGCGCCGGGCTGTTTCACCCAGCGTGAGTGCTCAGAGTAGTCCGGTGATGACCCACTCCCATAATATCAGTGACACGGGCCCAAACATCTGGGGTCCGCCGCCAAAGCCGGGCCTCGGGCCACCGTTCTCTGAACGACTCAGTTCTGATGTGGGCAATCGACCGATTGCTCATGCTGGAGGTGCGAAACGCGTCGGCCTGCAAGGGATGACCGAAGCCAGCGATGGCTTTATGAATATGAGCATTGATTGAAAACAGCTCTTATTACAGCGATGCGGAATTTGATATTATTCGTTAGCGCTCGAGAATTTTGTTTTTTTTTCTGGAAAGGTTTTAAGAGCATGGTGTTATTTGGATATGGATATTTTGAAGCAAGATACACATTCGTTATTCCAGCGAGTTTTCAGATACCTGGCACATTATTTTACGAATCACTTCACGTTACAGAATGTTGATGTCCATACGCACATAGTCTTGGATGTATAGTAGGCCACGTGCTTATCGCTCTCCGCCTCCGACAGCTGTCTTTCTCTCCGCAGAGACTCTAGACAATCACCATTTCCCAGCTCTAGAATTACTCGAGGACTTGGATTGCTCTTGAACCTCTTGCTCTGCTCAACATCAAATACTCCGATCGTATTTTCCTACGCCATGGCTTCCACTGTTGAATTGGCATCCTCCTTCATCGAGGGTGCCCCGCCAGGAGAGGTATGCACAACAATGATCCAGGATCCCCCACTCCCCTGGTCAACGTCTGCCTGAAGCTTGGGAATGATCACTGACATGTTTTCTTCAGCTCGCAGATGTTGTCGCCGGTAAATCGCCCTCTTAGCCCTACGCTGCCTATCCCGATCCCCGCAATCCCGGCATCTACATGGACGGTGCTAATCCCTACTACTTGATTAGATGTGCAAGCCTTAACTTCCGAGGGCGAGGATATCATTCCTTCTCTTCTACCCGCATTCAAACGGTACAACGAGGCGCAGCTCGCAACGGTGAAATTGCCAGGATCAAGTCAGGAGGTGGGTGTCGCTTGGGAGTCAACTATGTCTGCGGTGGAGCTAATAAGTTTGCTGGGAAGGTCATTGTTAGTGAATTTAACGAGCTCGAAGACAACCGCTACTTCGACCCTGAGAGCCAAACCTCGTTTGAGATCGACCACACCACACAGGTAGGTTTCGCCTGACCAACTGGGCTGATACATTGAAGGCTTACGGGTTTGCACCATGGCAATAGACAGCCTCGGCAGCACAATCATACGCATTGGAGTCAGAGCACGCCGACTTGATGTAAGGAATGATCCCGGCTGAAGTCTTGGTGGTACTCCGCTTACCGTGTTTAGCAAATCGCTACTCAAGTCGTTCGGTGTTCATGCCCGCGAACACTACCCCAACTGCTCGTATGGTGTCTACCCTATTGAGAATGACTCTGCCGTCGCCATCGTCTTGGTCGCCAACCGATACTCCCCCAACAACTTCTGGTGGGTGGTTACATCTCTACAATTAATATCTTGGGAAGCTAATCGTTATGGACGCTTCCCCTTCTGGGGAGGATTGTCTGTTCTAGGACAATAGGAATGGTCGTTTCCGCGCAATTTACCAACTCCCCGTCTCCTCCTCGTCCTCTACCCTGACTGGCAACATCCACGTTGACGTGCACTACTACGAAGATGGCAATGTGGCCCTCAATACTACTAAGCCTATCAGCATTCCCATCCCTTCCGTGTCCGCCGAGTCGATTGTTTCACGGATTGCTGCGGCCGAGCGCGATTACCAGGAAGCGCTGAATCGGGCGTTTGTTCAGACATCCGAGGGCGTATTCAAGGGTCTCCGGAGGCAGCTTCCCATTACACGACAGAAAGTGGAGTGGGAGAAGGTTGGTGGATATCGTCTGGGTCAGGATATCTCGGGCGGCAAAGGACGGTAGAGCAGACTTGGAACTATTGTCGAGTGGGTGGTTTGATGAACCTGCTCGAGTGAATGGCTGAGGACTGATATCAACGTACTATTTTGCGAGCATTGTCTTATTTGCTTGTCAATTGTTTCAATTTCAAGTAAATTTTTTGTAAATTTTTTGTAGTGCTGGACTTGTCGCTCTATATATATCTCCAGCATGCAACCACAACCACCAGCTAACTTCGATCATGCTCAGAATACCCATATGAACTATTCGATACAACAATCAATAGCCGACTACACGTAAAGTTAACCCATACTAATCTTCGAACATGCAAAGGCTGAATAAGCAACTTTACTAGTGCAAGTGAAATTAGCCCACTTCCAAGCCTTGACACATAATTTCCACCCCTATCCCACAAGAGTATACTGTCCCCAGAGTCCGTGGCAGTGCGACAACGATGATCCAACACTTTTCTCGCTTTGTCAAATCGGGCGCTGGTCTTGAAAAGACCCTTCGTCTGATCCAATGCGTGTCGCAGGTGGTCGCAGCACTCACCGTGAGCAATGTCCTGGCCGTGCAATTGACCACGGTCAAGCTGCAATTGGCACTGAGTAAGTTGAATTCTATATTGGATTGATAGATATATACTGTTATATATACTGATACTGGGTTTGTTGCGTAGCGCGGAGATATTTCCGCTTCTTTGGGTTCATTGACTCCTTCCAGCGGATGTTGGCGTTGCTGGGCAAGGATGGCTTCGGTTCTGTGGCTGGACTGCTTGAACTAGCCAAATGCACTTGCTTTGGCCTATACTTTGTCCTGGAAGACCTGACCACGGTATGTTATTTACTGCTGTTCCTTCTTCCTCCGTGAATAGGACTGACGAAGGCTAGCTTCATGCAATGGGCGTCTACGCAGTGACCTGGAATGATCCTGTCATGAACCAAGCCAATACGTTTTGGTTATATGCGCTCTCTTTCTCTGTTGCAGAAGCCATTTGGGCACTGCTTGTCAGTCCCGCGGAGCAGCCTTCTAAGAAGAATGGCAAGAGAAAGAACCGGAAGATCGCTTCCGAGAAGACCCCGGTAAAATCAACTGTTACCTCTGCCCGGGTCAAGCAGATCGTGGTAGATGGCTGTGATTTGCTCATCCCGTTGGAGCTTTTGGGCTGGATGCCCACCGGGGACGTGGTGGTTGGATCGACCATGGTTTTGAGTACACTGCTGACGGCTCAAGAGGTTTGGGCCCGAGTGTGATTGGAATGTAGATACAGCGGCATTGTTGCCAGCCGGAAGATAAAAATAATAGAAAGATGAAAGATGTATATAGATATGCCAAAATAGCCGAATGGTCATGAGCTGAACAAAATGAACATAGCAAAAGCAAAAATATGGACTCGCGGGGAATCGAACCCCGGACCACTCCCATGCTAAGGGAGTATTATACCACTAAACCACAAGCCCAGTTGGATGGAAGAGACCGCCGGTTAGCGACTGACAAGCGGAAACCAATAATAGGCGTAATGTGTGGACACCAATCGAGTGCTAGGACTGTTGGGAGTGGATCCTCGTCCGAAATACCCCATTAGGAAGGGGGCGTCAAGAGATCGGAGATCAAATTCACTGTTCTCTTCTGAAGTTGTAGAAAGGTAGAAAGGAGCTTGGCGGACTTGCTGATCGCAATTGCGAAGTAAGTCGGCCCAGAATATCTACCGGGTGACGGCAGTTCGTATTGGGAGGCGACAGACATTATCATCGCTGCCCATCCACCAGAATAGAAGGTTCTCGTTCGAGCCAAGGTCATGAGATCGTATCTTTCGCCTTGGGACTCGTAGGAACTACAAAAGAGGCTATACGAGTGAGGCTCAGCAAGTCCAGACATGGTCAGCGAGAGAAGTAGCGAATGAGAGAAGGAAGGAAGTGGTGATCTCCGACGTCATGGAGCACGAGCGCCAAGAAATGGAGTTAAGTTTGGGAAAACCATGGGTCGCCCAAAGCCCAAATAGGAAAGTGTCGTATCGGGGGAAGAACATATATACACGGCCATACATGGAGACACGGTGGTCATCCAGACGTGGACAATGAACACTACAGCCATGCTCGATCCTCAGAAGGAAATGGAGATTCACTCCTCGGCCTTGTCTGTCAGGTCTAACAGCACGACAAGAACACTTATCGAGAGTCCATCCTCTTTCTACCCATCGCGCATTCTAACCATTAATGCCCAAGGCATTCGCGCTTTCCGTCTCCCACTGCCATCCCGCCAGACTGAGATCTTTGTCTACAACCCAGACGGCGCCGAGGCTTACGTCTCCACGCGCGACAAACGTTGCTCAGGTAATGCGACCCTGTCCCACCCCGAACGCGGAGATCTGATCCGAACTGAGTACTCGTTCGGTCCGAGCCGGGATCCCGTTGTGCACCTGCTTCAACCTTCTGGTGACAGCCCCGAGGAAGTGGCTGTCGCGGGGAAATGGACCTCTCGCTCAATGCGCTTTGCTATACCTGGAGGTAAACAGTTTGAATGGAAATATGCCAAGGAGAGAAGGGCGGATGGGCAGAAAGTCAATTTGATTGTTCTTCGTGCCGTGGGGGAAGACAAGGCCAAGAGTAAAGAGACCCAGCGCCACAGGATTGCACAGCTGGCCCGCGGAGACGATGCTCGGACGCCCGGAACGTCGCGATCTTCGGCGGGCAATGGGGGTGAATTGCAGATCGACGAGGCTGCGTCACAGTCTCTTGAACTGGAGGAAGCGGTTATTGTGGCGACTTGTTTGATGATGTTGAAGAAAGAGGTTGACCGACGTAGGATGATTCAATTTGCAATGATCGCGGGAGTGTTATGAAAGTATAGAGCGTCTGTGTGGTATTTTTTTTTAGTCTTAACGCTAATCTCTATTTTTCTATCGGATATTTGGATATCTTGTGTCTTGTTCGATAGTTCTATAAGCCTCCAATTTGGGGTGCCAGCCCCTCAATTGGCCTTGGTCTCATTCAACAATTCGGAAATGTGGCCATTAAGCCAGTATCCGTTCAACTGGTCGGCGGGCATGGTCTTGGCTCCGGAGATCCAACCTCTGCAGATCCCGTCACCTGCCCCGCAGGTGCACTGGAATGGCTGGTCCATATCCCACTCGGTGCTGGGGTAGAAGAAGGTGAGGGCATCACCTTTCTTCAAAGGATGGTCGTCCACGACCCGCACCTCCATGCGACCCATATCGAAGACCAACGATGGTGCGCATGAGTGGTTGCAGTAGACTAGGTCGGAGTTGAGTTCGATGTGGGTGTCGCGGCCGGTTTGCACGCTCGTGTAGGCTTTCTTTCCGGGAGTGGCCGTAGTGATCTTGGCGAAGACGGCACCTGCGGGGAGGTCCACGAGAGAATAAGCTCCGCTAGCAAATGCCTTCGTACTGCGCTCAACGCGCAGACATTCGGGATGGGTCGGAGGAGGGAAGTTGGCAATGGCGGGCGTCGCGGGAATGGGATCGGCGGATGGGGCCATGGTGAGGGAGGTATGGAGATGAGAAGGGAAGAGGGGGTAATAGAGGAGAACAGAAGAGGATAGGAGAAAAGAAGATGTTTGGAATTAAAAAGTGGAAATCGCGGGGGGTTTTATTAAGTCGAAGACGTACGGAGTAGCGATGAAGAGAACATTCCACATCGTTCCCTTCAACCGAGGTCATTCCGCTCGGAAGACCGAGGCACAACGCAATTAATTGTCTTGCCAAAAGAGTCCTAACGAAGACCTTTGACCGTTTACACTTGTGAAGGCGAACTGTTAGCCGGATCGTACGTATTCGTCATTCGGTGAACCTCCACATGTAGAACATGACATTCTCGGAACAACCTCGGTTGTTTGTATTGATATAGCTATGGTCATCAATTCATCTTGCGCAGTAGCTCCTGTCCATTCAACCACCGCTCTAAATTCTCCGCTGTTTCGCGATACCACCCCCGCAATAGCTCCTCCTCTCCGTATCCCATGTGGGGGGAAAGCAGAACTTCACTGCGTCCATCCTGGCCCCAGGGAGTATTACGCCATGGACTATCCAGAGGCAATGGCTCCGGGTCAAAGACATCTAACGCGGCGCCACGAATGCGGCCCGCATTCAGAGCCTCGAGGAGGGCCTGCTCCTCAATCAAGGGCCCACGTGAAGTATTGATGATAAATGCAGATGGTTGCATATTTGCTATTTCAGTTGCGCCAACAATTCCACGACTTCGATCCGATAGTACGCTGTGTACACTGACGATGTCAGCCTGGGCGAAGAATTCCTCTTTGGACGCGGCGACGGCAAATGTCCCCACTGGCAGACCCTGAGCGTGCGCTTGCTCGTCGGCCTTTTCCTGTGTCAGGTTTGTTGACCATGCGAGAACCTTCATGCCGAAAGCCAGAGCGCCAATCTTTCCTACTTGCGACCCAAGTTTTCCCAGCCCAAGCAGCCCTAATGTCTTCCCGGACAAGTTGATCCCAAGGGAACCTTGCCATGCACCGCGTTTGACGGCTGCATCGTCGCGTGCTATATTTCGGGCTAGTCCCAAGATCAAAGCCCATGTATGCTGAACCGTCGAATTCACACCGGGTGGGCGACCCTCGGTGCCTGCGACAGCCACATTGGAACGTGTAAATGCCCCGAGATCTAGCGCCAGATTGCGAGTACCCGTGGTCAAAAGAAGTTTCAAATTTGGGAGCGCTGCAATAGTATTGGCTGCAAAAGGTGTTCGCTCGCGCATCGCCAAGATGATATCGAAGGGAAGGAGTCGTTGGACAAGGGCATCGTGTTGTGCAGGATCGCGGGGATCGAGGGTTTCGGGAAAACTGGAAATGTCAACTCGCGACTCGAGGTGAGTGAAATAGGCAGGCGCAATGCCCTGGTAATCGTCAAGGATTGCAAACTTGAAATGAGCCATTGTAAAAGATGAATATGGGAGCGAAAGAGGGAAGAGAGAGTATGTCCGGGGAAGTGTAGGAAATTCCCTGGGGAAATGACGTGCCCGGCAGTTCGTTTATCCACTCAGTACGATGTACATTTACATGTCTGAAGGTATTGGAGTAGTATGTACTTCAAGCCTATCCTCAGTTTGGTAAATGTACCTTATGTCGACATTAATCTCCAAAGTAGATTGAGCAACTTTATAGGAACCCTGCACTCTTATTGTAAAATTGGATCCCTCATCATTAGGAAAAAGGTCTCTTGCCCAACACTTCCAAATGGTGTATAATCCATAACCACCTCCTCTAATATCTTCCACCCATACTTGAGGTAGATAGGAACACCTTCAGGCGTACCCTCGAGGAAGATACGCAACTGGGATGCATCTGCCTTTTCTATGCCCCATTTCAAGATAGCAGAACCAAACCCTCGTCGTTGATATTCCGGTAGGGTTGCTAGCAGATCGAGGACTGATGAACCATTTGAGCAAAAACCCCTATCGCGAATGTGGGGGTCACTTACTGATGTCGTTATCTGTGGTGTATCGCTTGCGACCATCCTCTAGGAGCCTTTTGAAAGCATTGAAAACCTCCTCATTCATTGGTCTTGGTGCATGTGGAACGGGGTCCTTGGCCAACAAGGCTGCCTTCTCACTTATGGTAACCAGGCTTGGACCAAATGATGCTGGAAACTGCCAACGGCTGTAGGTCGCCAGCTCCCCACTGACTGGATCATGGATCTTGAGGACGTGCATATTGGGATTGGCAAGATGTTTCATTCCCATAATTATTTTGAATTCCTGCACCCTGGTCAAGCTGGCCTCTGGGAAAATTTCTTCGAGGAGACGGCGGCCTTGAAAGCTTTGGACGTTGACTTTGGCAAGTCCTGGCCCATCGGCCTCGGTGGCATATTCGATGAGATCCATGGTAGTCCCGCAGAAGATATATGAGTGAGTGAAGGGAGACTGTCAGACAACAAACAGAACAGATATCAGCCCCCTCCATGGCCTAGTGGTAATATACTGTATTATTACAGGGTTTCCCCTCTCAGTTGGAAATTTATTTACAGTCTTATAGTCTTCTATAGTACCAATTCAAATCTTATTTTCTATCAAACCCTTCGCTTTTTAACCTCTAGCTTTGCTTTTGGATCACTTAGCATTTCAAATCCTATCGCCACAATCTTGGGTATCATCCCCTCAGCAATTCTAACATCATAAGTCAAGAGAATCTTAGCAGAGCAATCTTGACTTCGTTGCTAGCAAAGAATCTCCCAGGACAGATTGCCTTGCCAATTCCAAAGGCAATGTGCTCCGGGCTGATGGAAGCAAGTGCTGCTGCAGTATCACCGGAGTTGCGAAGACGAAGAAAACGGTACGCATCATAAGAGAATTGATCGGGGTAAATCGCTGGGTCCCACATCATGGATGAATCAACTGCAACATTGGTCCCGCGAGGGATAGTCAAGCCATTGGGAAGGATCACATCTTGCAGCGCTTTCCACTCAAGATTTACTGTGAGAGAGTGAGTTCAGTACCTTGATATGAGAGTACTGATGGGTTAGACACATACCTAATGATCCCGGTTTGAGCCGCTGTGTCTCCTTTACTGCGCTGTCCAACAGCTGCATTTTGAAGACGCCTGCAGTTGTCCATCCGCTCTCCTCGACAGCCTTCTGTGCTTCATCTCGCAGAGCCGGAATCAGATCTGGGTGCATACGAATATCCAGTAAGGCCTGCTTGAGTAGCTCAGAAGTTGTGTGCATTGCGCTTATCGCGAACGCAATTTGTGCCGCAGCGGCATCATAGGGGCGTCCGGCAGCGATTTATTCAAGCCACTGTATGGTATCCTCGAATTTTTCTATCTCACCAGGCTCAATAGAGCGAGATTGCTCATGCGCCCTGCGATCCAAGATTGGCTGTAGCATAAGACGAGCAAGACGCATTTGCTGGCGGCACTTTCGGAGTTCTGGCAAAAACCAATGAACAAATGGACGAAGAAACGCCGGCCAGGCGCGGAGAGATCGAATCCCCATAAAGGTATTCATGTCGAAGTGATAATTAAGTCTTGCCACTTAGGATCACGAGCTAATTCAGGACCGACAAAAACAGATGCTGACATTTGCCCAATGAAGCCGACTGCATGTTGAGACCAATCAGTGGTGTGCCAGTCTGAAGAATAAGTTAATCAAACGTTCCAGCAAAATATAGAGCAAAAGTACCATCGTGATCCATCCAGGTCTTGTCAAGAGCCTCCGTAAGATGTTCATGAAGCAGCCCACACTCTGTGATGAAAGGTCACGTTAGTCAGAGCCCAACGTGCATCATGGGCCCTGAGGCTGTCACCCACGACTGCTCTGATTGTTCAATTTCGTTTTTGTGACATTGATCAGAATCCTTCTGGGATCAGTGACCAATCTCTGTCCTTCCATCCCGGGGTATGCCGCGAAATATTGCTATATGAAATCGTGTGTCGTCAGTTCCCACCCTGCGTTAGTAAAGGGAGCTGCAACATCGTGGACAAGCGCTTGATGATCTAAATCCGGAAAATTTTTCAGCCACTCTATATATGATGCTGGGAGAATTAACCGAGAGCCAAGAGTGGTTATGATGCGAAATGGTCCGTTGAACTGAAGCGTGTACATTAGATGCAGTGTCATGTCATTTTTGTCATGGAAGCTTCAACTTACCTTCTGGATTCCTTCTTTGATCAAACTCCTGGCATCTGACATGAATGTCGACTGTGCCTCTTTTAAAATTATATCACCAGAGTATGAGTTGACAATCAGTATTGTCGGTTTTTCCGTCCGACGCCATGCGAGGACAACAAGGAAGCTCAAGAGGGCTGTCAACAGAAGATATACGACAGAAAGATCTTTCGTAAGAAAGCCATCTGTGTTTAAAATGAGATATGACATTATGCTTGGAACTTTGGTGCGCATTAGAAGCAAATTGTCTAGACAAGTAACGATTTAAGTATACGATGCCTACCCCGTATAGTTGCATTGCCTTTCCGAGCGCCGGAGTGGATCCGTCATGATGAATAAGAATGAGTCACAACGACATAGTAGCTAGATATTTAGTTAACTGTCCACATTTTTACCTATGATGCTTATTTGGTAGTGGCATGAACCTGCCCTCAATTACTGTAAGTCAAAACTGTCGAAGCCTAGAATAGGTCCGGTATCGGATTCCAACTCGGGGCGACTCGTAAAAAGCCGAGGGAGACTTGTTGAAATTAGACCTAATTAAGAAGAAGGCTTAGCCAATAAGAAGACACACATTCTACATCAGCTCCCGGGTTTATTGTCTAATGGTCCCTTCATTTTTCTTTACAAGGATTAGCGATCTAGGAAATCTACGGACATTTCCGAGCTGCTAGCCCGTCTGGGAAGGTATAAAAACGATCAATTCCACTGCCGTTCAATCAAAGAGGCAAGAACGGGTGATCTGCACAAGTATCTGAAAACGAATCAAAAACCAATAGATACATACAAGTATACATCTTGTGGGAAATTCTCGGTCCAATTGGCTCCATTTAAGAAGCGTTCTTGGCAAAGGTCTGCAGAGCGGCTTCGCTGCCATTCCAAACCTCGGAATCACCTCCATAGCTATACGAATCGGTGTTCTGCCAGAAGCTCTGGTAAGGCCAGCCACCGGGGATAGTGCCGACCGAGGTGCTGTATGAAGCCAGAACCAACGGGTAGTCCGCGCTGAATGCCGTGCTGCCACCAGTGCAAGTGTTCCACCAGTCGGCGGTGGAGTAGATCATAGGGTACCGGCCCTCGGCAGCCTTGTAGGTCTCGCCAAAGTCCTTGACCCAAGCAACCATGGCAGATTGGCTGAGCCCATAGCAGGTTGCGCCGGATGGGTTGTATTCAATGTCTAGCATACCGGGCAGGGTCAGGCCGTCATTGGACCAACCTCCACCGTGGGCGATGAAGTACTTGGCTTGAGTGGCACCGGTGCTACTGGCGGGCTGGGCAAAGTGATAACCACCACGGATCAGACCGGCGTTAGTGGCACCAGTATATTGGCTGGAGAAAGTGCTGGAGGTATAGCTGGTACCCTCAGTTGCCTGATATAGTTAGTATTGGGACTGAGAAGGGAACGGTTGTGAATTCGGGAAAGCCTACCTTGATCATGACAAAGCGAGCGCCAGACTTGTAAGCACCAGCGAAGTCCACGCTGGGTTGGTAGCTGGAGATGTCGAAGCCCTGGACGGTGGCGCTGGCAGCGGTTGCGAACAGGAGAGGGATGGCGGTAAACTTCATCTTGAAAGCGAGAGTGAGGCTCGGACAGTGAATGAAGAAGTGTATTGAGTGAGTTGAGATCGGTAATCAAGATTTTGGGAGGGGAACTGAGGGCTTATTTATGTGTTTTCCAGGCAAAGAAGCTCCATGTAGTTGCATCATCGGGGACCATCAAATAACACGGGGATATCATGCAGTGCTGTAGTAACGTTGTATAGTGGAAACATGAGGGTCCATTCAATGTTGCTCTCATCCCACTTCAGGTATGTACTATGTAGATCAGTTCCTGCATGTTGTTTTACTGTTTCAACGGCTCGTATATAGCACCCGGGAGTTGGCACGGCTCAGTGGATCCGGTAAGAAGGATAGGGATATATCAGATTGAAGAGCCTGGAGCTTGATCAGTAAACATTTTCAATATGATCCTCGACCTCATAGTCCAGCTCTGCAGCAATGTCTTCAGAGACCGGGAAATGCAAAGTAACCCTAATTCCTGAAGATAAGCCTGACGAAACAGGGATATTGAGATAGTCCCAGCCATTCTCGATAAATATAAACGCAGAGATACTTAGGTAGTACCCCGTGCCCCATATAGATTAATAGAATCATCCCAAAGTCACAATCTCGCAGAATGATAACTCTTTCGGCCATGGACAGATCAGCGTTTCGCCTATGTAAGCGAAAGTAACCCGGGGCCCCCCCACTTTTCATATCTTCCCTTCTTCAACAGCACTAAAGTACACTTTCGATGAACGTGCGTTTCCTTCAATGACAATTGGTCGATATGTTTGGGAAATGGATAGCTTAAGTGGCCCCTGACCATGAGCACGTCTGGAAACAAGGATTTCCGCGATCAGCTGGGAAAATTCCGCTTGGATTCGATTAATACTTACACTCCAACCTGGTCTCAACCACCGCCGGTTCATCATGAGTCTATAGATGTTTCGAGTCATGCTCGCAGCAAACGAGTATCGACGGCCTGTGACTTTTGTCGCAAAAGGAAGAAGAAATGCGACTTTCGTTACCCCAATTGTTCCGCTTGCACCCGCGCCGGAGTCCGGTGCACCATACCCCCACCCGGTCCTCAGGTCGCTAGCGCCTCCGTCCCCCGAGATCAGCTGGAGAATTTACAAAAACGAGTACGATGGTTGGAGGATGTCGTCCGCCGTAAGTCGGGCCTCTCGGTAGCGGAATTGCCGACGGGAACACCAGTCGATGGCGAGGGAGATCCGGATTGGTGGTATCAGGTGCCCGCCATGATTGCGACCGGGGGTAATCGTGCCACCTCAATGCCAAGCCCTGCCGGCAGTGGTGGTTCGTCGGTGACTGCAGGACCCTCGGAGGCCTCGACTGGAGTAGGCACCGAACTCCCCAACATCGGCGAGATCTTTCGCGATCAGTTGGAGCACCGCCGACCGTCGGTCGCACGACCTTCCTCCGCCCCGCGAGTTATGCGCTTGTCGTCGCTGGAGGAAGCGGAACGGCTGGCTGGACAATATTTCGATAGTATGGGATACCAGTACCCGTTTTTGTCTCGTCCGGAGTTTATGGCCAATCTGCGCCATATCTATACCGGTGGTGTTCCATCTCCAGAAACGCATCATTCTTATCACATCGTCATTGCCATTTCCCTCCTGATCGGGTCTGCGGATCCGATCCAGGCAGCTGAATTTTACCATGCCAGCCAGGAGACGTTGCCACTGGCATTGCAAAATGAAGACTTACCGGCTGTGCGGGCACTGCTGGGATTGTCCTTGTATACTATGTTTGCGACTGCTGGTCCCAGCATTTGGCATTTGCTGGGTGCGACGATGAGGCTGTCAATTAGTATGGGTTTGCACAAAACACGGTCCTATTCTAGCATTGCGGAGGAGGAGATGGCAAAGCGCGCGTTTTGGAGTCTTTACAATCTCGATCGCCTTATCGCTAGCACCTTGGGTCGGCCATTGGGAATTGCGGACGACGATATTAGCGTGGGTCTTCTGCGAGAACTCAATGACGATGAAACCGAAGCCCCTGGCGCGAGCGCGATGACGATTCCCTTGCAGGTGACACGTCTGCGGCGGATATTTTCACGCATCTATCAATACTGTAAGTGAAGTCTTGAGAATTTCGTCTGGTTTTTCCTTTCCTCTAATTGTTTCCTCTGTAGTATATAGCAGCCTGCCACGACTGTGTCCCCAAGAAGCTGCCGCCACACTTAGTCGATTCCGCCATGAGGTTGATGACTGGCGCATAACAGCTCCAGTATACCCATCGGCACTTCTCTATTCTACCTCTTATTACGATTATCTCTATTACACAACGCTTCTCTTGATGTACCGCCCCAGCCCCCGCAATCCGACGCCCGACATAACCAGTATCATCAGCTGTGGTGAATCTAGTATCCAAGTCATTCGATCCTATTGGGACAGCTACTCAGTCGGCAAGCTAAAATGGATATGGTTAACATTGAGTCAAGTTTATTTTGCTGGTATCACTATCCTGTGGTGCCTTGAGCAGAATGCCCGCTCATTACGCGACTCTCAGCCTGCCCCCTGGCATCCCGAAGAGCAGACGATGCGACGTGGCATTCAGGCCGTTGTCGTACTGTTGGAAGAATTTGGCAAGCGTCGGCCTGGGGTGGACCGGTTGGCAGAGACATTCCGGCACCAGAGCACAGTGATCTTCAGCCAAATGGCCTATCAGCAACAGCAACTAGAACAGCAGCAACATCACCATCACCCACAACATCAACACCATTACCAACCGCAACCGCAACCACCGCCTCCACCATTTGCACTGCTCCCAGCTCATCCGATGTCTTTAGCCGCACCCCCTCCACCCCCAGTCCCACTCGCTCCAGTTCTTGATGACGTGTTGCTCGTGGATGGGAGTGGGACTGTGCCGATGATCGATCCACAGATGGCGGAACAACTTTTCTACTCCTACAATTGGTTTCAGGAGGAGATGGCATCATACTATACCCTTTGAACGAATCTCTTTCTCTATATTCAAACCGTGCTCTACCGGACGTAGACGGAGTTTTCCATCGGGCCAGGCTTTTTCCTTTCATGTTAATCAATATTAGTTTGTCGCAACTAAAAGCATACCAGATTCATCAGATTAAGAATCGTTTTAGTACCTGCGACTTAATGTTTTATATAGTTCGTGATGACCTAGACAGAGATGAAGATGGATTGATACAAACTCAAGACTCCCACTTAATTGAAAGGAATAGACTCTTTAGATTGAAGAATAGCAGGCTCATGGATTTCTGCCAAGGAGCTTCACAATTGCAGGCTGTTTCACCTCATCTCAGCATATGCCGATTATTAATGCCCCTCACCTCCAAACCTGTTATCTTCATCTATCCCCCTCCTACATTTCACAGAACTACACCCATCATTCGCAAATAATCCCTGGTGATTATTATATCATCTTATTGTGTATTATGGAAGAGCTCGACAAGAACGCCACGCCGGTCTCTGGGCTGCCCCTCGCCTTCCACGGCACGGTAATCCATTCCCGAAGTCTGGATGACTTCGAGATCCTGGAGAATTGCATTATGATTGTGGGAACAGATGGCAAGATTCAGGCGTTACAAGGAAATGTGGAATTGGATCAGATCAACTCTATTCTTTCAGAAAATGGCCATGTCCCCGACGTTTTCCCAGTGAAGTATCTCAGGCGCGGGGAATTTCTGTGTCCCGGCTTCGTTGATACTCACAACCATGCACCCCAGTGGGCACAGCGTGGCGTCGGAAGAGGGATTTCCTTACTCGACTGGTTGAATAAGGTCACTTTTGCCCACGAGGCCAAGTTCCAAGATCCGGAATATGCCAAACGCATGTACTCCTCTTGCGTGACGGGCTTCTTGCAGCAGGGAATTACCACCGCCTCATATTACGGCTCACATCATGGGCAGGCAACTCGAATCTTGGCGGATGTCTGCTTTGACAAAGGACAGCGCGCTCTGGTGGGGAAGTGCAATATGAACCGGAATGCCCCGGACTGGTATCGGGATCCGTCGGTGTCCGACTCATTGCAAGAAACACGTGAACTCATTCGTCATATTCAGAAACTTGATCCGGAATACCGCCTGGTGAAACCAATACTGACGCCACGCTTTGCGATATCCTGTGAGCCGGAATTACTGGATGGGGTCGGTGCCATCGCCCGTGAACATCCCGATCTTCCAATACAAACGCATTTCAATGAAGCCAAGCAGGAAATCGAGTTCACGCATCAGCTCTTTCCAGAGTTTGATACGGAAGCTGATCTCTATCAGCGATATGGTCTGTTGAATAATCGATCGATTCTTGCCCACTGTATCTTTCTACAAGAAGGAGAGATGTGTCGCATCCAAGAACTTGGCTGTGGAGTTGCCCACTGCCCAATCGCCAATACCACCATGGAAGATTTTATGGTCGCACCTGTGCGAGAGTATTTGCGTCGCGGTATCAAGGTGGGCCTGGGCACTGATAGTGGTGGTGGCTACTCGTCGTCTATATTGGATGCCATGAAACAGGCCTTCATTGTGTCGAATGCGCAGCAGAAGTTGACCCAAGGACGAGATCCTGCACTTTCGTTGCCCGAGGCCTTCTTTCTTGCCACTCTAGGTGGAGCGCAAGTGTGTGGTCTCGATGACCGTGTCGGTAACTTTGCAGTTGGCAAAGAGTTTGATGCGCTCGAAGTTCATACCACGGATCTTGGCCAACCAGGAGTGATGAGCCCAGTTGAAGATGAAGATACTATCCAGGTAATATTTGAGAAGTTTCTGATGACTGGGGATGACCGGAATATTGTGAAAGTCTATGTGAGCGGACGTTCAGTGAAAGTTTGATGGCCTGTCTTGAATTATGAGAAATGAGAAATGAGAAATGATATATTCATGAGCTACGATGTGAAGATAAACGCTAACCCCCCCGTAGCCCAATCTGCAAGGGTATCCAAAAGACCATTTTCGACTCCTGTATACCTAGATATTGACAGAGAATCCAGAGAGCTTACAGTACTCATATCATTCGAATCTTCGCGTACTCAGGTAAAGCCCAATTGACCATCCATTCACATTCGGGAATTTGCTTTGCAGGTGAGCGATTCTCAGGCCTGAATTGAAGCATCGACTTCAGCATCTTAAAAATAGCATCCCTTTCCTCCGTCGAGGTTCCTGCATATCTTGTTCAAATCTGTCCCCCCACGACCGGTAAGGGTCCCGATTGATCGGCTTTCCATTTTTGGTGAATCTGATATGTCGCCCCTCCCATTTGTACTACCATTCCGGGGGTAGCATACCTAGTGCATCGACTTGCCCACCAGTGATGCTATCTTCGGTTGCAAACATGCCGTCAAAAAGTGAGCTTTGACCTATGATGTTCCATAAAGAGCATCCGAGTGACCAAATGTCTGATGGGAAGGACAGAGGCTTGTGTGGTTCGAACCGAGCCTCTCGTGGTCGGCCTATAAGCGGGGTGTGCGACTCAAACCTCTGTTGCTTGGTAGGAGAGAAGGCTTCACCGAGAGCGCCGAGTAGGATTTTGGCTTCTGGGAGTTTAAGTTTATCGCTTGCCTCGCCCAGCCAGATTGGTAAAACGGCCCGTGATGGCATATTCGGTGGAAGCGGTTGACTATCGAAGGGTCTTACTGCTTCGAATTCCGGTTCCCGTACCTTTTGTACAAACCCTCCACAGAAAGTTGGCCTAGGTCAAATGGCAACCGGAGGAAAATGAAGATCTCCGTGAACAAACTCCTGGGAGTGGACGTACTCAACTGCAAGGAATAGCTGTGCTGCTAAGGCCCGAGCAGCCTCCAATTGGAAAAGGCGGTTCTATGAGGCATCTTTTGCCTCGGAGAGACTCATTCTTGCCGGGACTGTCACATAACAGGCGTGCGTACCATTCGGTCCTTTAATCTCGAATCTATTTAATACTGAAGGTATCATTGTCTTCAAGCTAGCAGTTGAACTTTGTTGCGAGTTGGAAAGTTCCGAAAGGACGCTGAATTCAAGCGGGTTCGAATCCGCGGTACACACTTTGATGGCGACGTATTTGCCATCTTTTTGATCTCAGGCCAGCCAGATCGTCGAGTACGTGCCATGACCGAGTTTATGAACCACCTGATAGCGATTGTGAATATGATCACCGATTGTCATGGAGTGATAGCCCCCCACGCGATAGCTTTCCAGTTTTTCCACTCCTTCGATGGGCTCATAAAGGTGTTGCGAGGAGTCATCTTTGGGAGAGTGAGACATAAGAGCAGCCGTGCAGAGAAAGCCGCGAATTTGATTTTGGTAATGCTGAGTTTGTCGGGCTTTGCTGGGAATGGAAAGCAATAAACGCGTTCGGAAAGGCCGAAATGGGCATGACAATAAATTCCTCATGATACAGCTAGCCCTGGAGCCAAATTTCACTCATGTGAAAACAATAATTACGGGGTTGGGACACAAGCCTGTCTCAGCTGCTCCTCGCGTTGACAATTCGATCGGAATGACCCCTTTCCGGGAGACGATTCACGAAGGAAACAGGTGAATCGCGAATGACATAGCGGTATCGATCGTGGTCATTATAGTCATGTTATCGGTCTCGATGTTTCGAAGAATCCTTTGAGGTGAGAACTTCATGGTATGAGGGCACCCCACAGATCCAATGTCCATATCGGGAGATACTTGTCTTACTTAGCACCGAGACCGACGTCGCGGTTTCGGAAATGATAAACTGATTTTGACTATCGATGATGGAAAGGAAGCATCGATCCGACCGTCCCAAATTGTTCAAGTTGCGAGGGCGGCGAGGGTGATATCTGTGGGATCATCCGGATCTGCTGGACTGACGCGATACTCAAAGTCCACCCAACAAACGGTAATTACGGCAATATATGGTAGAAACACACTAAAATGAGGCCGAGCAGACATTCCTGATCACTCCCAAGTTCCTTTTGGGGGGCCAAAGTAGCCATGCGCGGGTAAGCCCATGTAGGGCGTGCCTTTGCCGTCGGCTGTGGTTTTCGACACAGCATTTCCCCACCAGTTCAACGAACCAGCTGGGAGAGTTATGCAAAAGAAAATGATTACTGTAGCGACTGCAACGCCGCAGTCTAGCGCGGCGGATAGTACATAATCTGCGGACGATTAGCAAAAGAATCAACGATGAAAGGGAAACCATGAACATACTGTATTTCGACCACCACGCGGGTTTGCGGTGACGGAGTACGCCATTGAATATCAAGTTGACTATCCACCACGAGGAGAAGCTGATACCTGTGGCAGGTGGGACTAGACTCATTGCACCAAAAGCGACGGGCCAGGAGACATGGTTGGCAGCTTTCCAACGACGACCTAGAAGATAGGTGATGACTACCACCGCAGGCCCGACCAGGAAAAACCAAAGCAGATTGCTATATATCTGCCCGGAAGAAAACAACCGACCTGGACCAACAGCACCTGAAGGTTGATTAGGTATGACATGGTAGAACATCGACAATAAGATGGAACTCACCCCAAATAAGAGACGAAGAATATGTGACCTTTCCATGAGGGCAGATGAAATTTCCCTGGGCTTCAGGGGTGCATACACCATCAATTCTTGTGATCATGAACACTGTCACACCACATTGAACGATAGCTCCGATGAGTGTGGCAAGGCCTTGGGCTACAAACAGAAGGCGTGGGGCGATGTGCATATAATGAGCCAACTTCATATCGGCGACAAATCTAATATGATGTTAATCAATGCCAATTCCGTTTTGGAGGTATGTAACCCACTCGAGTCCTTGCTGGACGGCGACATAACCATAGAATTTGAAAGCCATGTTGGCCACGGGCTGCCCGAGGAATGCATACCCGCCAATGAATTCCGTGAGCAGGTTCAGTTGGTTACTACTGATATTTGTGAGCGCTTTGATGACTCCCACAGGGATAAAGTAGACCACTGGTAACACGAATGCCACAAGCACACCCCATGCCGGTAGACCCGTATGCCACACCTCGTTGGTCACGATACTCAAGACAAACATCAGGACAGTTACTGCAGCAAACCACCACCAGGGTACGGCTCGATATGAAGACATCAGTCGAATATGGACGTCTTGTTTGCTAGTGCCCTTCCATTGTTGCCACAAGTCTTTCCCATGATACAACGCGATGTGGAAGAAGATGCCCGTCAAGTTAGCAAAGGCAACCCCAAATGTGATTGCATAGCCAGCCGGTAAAAACATGGGCGAATAGTTCCGATACGCAGTTTGGTCGATCCTCCCGCTCGAACCCATGATACGACTGGTGTTATAAGGAGTTCCAGTATTATCGAAGGTGTTGGAATTGAGCAGTGGCAAGTGTGCGGAATACCAGGTGTTGGTGTAGTAAACGAGGGGGCACACAAGCCAAAAGAAGAGTGCAAATGATCCCATCACATTAAGGCCAGCCCAGAAGGGAACAAGCAGGGGGCTTTGGTTGGCATAGACCACCTGGGCCCAGTCAAAGGTCAATACCGACATCCCTAGTCCGGTGGTTTGCCCAAAGAGCTGATTCACCACCACATTGAATGGCACAATCCAGCAAATGAAGGCGAATGTGCTGAGACCCGTAAAGAGATATCCCGGGACGAAGTACCAGATGGCACCACCGACGAACACATAAAGAAAGAAGCGAAGACGTGTGATCTGCCAGCCATCTGCGATGGTATCAGAGCGAGAATGGAGAGTGGTCAAAAGTGCGGCATTTGACAACACCTGCGGCCAAATCATCGATGCTGGGCCAACTAGCCAGCGCGACGCCATGCCGGCTAAGCCGAAGCCAAACAATTGCGTGGTAATGCACAACAAGACTTCAAACCCACCCTGTGACGGCATATTATAGAACTTGACAAGCGCTTCGATAATTTGGGTGGCAGCAGCAGAGCCAATAGAGACGTTTGCCATGATTGTGATCAAGGCATGCTCCTTGATATTGAAATGCCGGTCGGGATTCAAGACCCCAAGGGGAATCCATTTCGCCCAGGCGCATCCCAGAGGGAAAGCGAGTAACTGTGCTACTAGAGCACTGATATTCACACTGGGCTGTCGTAAGCTGAAGAACTGGTTCAGTCCACTACCGACCTGTGTCGACGTTAGTTATCTTGCCAATTGTCCGGTCGCATAGAAAACAAGACTCACGATAGTAAACAAAATACCAATAGTCCACATGCGGACCGTGTTAACAGGCAGCGTCAAGTCATTGACTGGCTGGATGACAGCCCGCACCTCGGGAAAAGGCGAATCATCGGCTTCATAGGGTAAGATCTTTTCGGCATCCCGATCGTGAAGAACGTCAATTCTATCTTGCTCTGAAGGGGATTTCTGAGATGTGAAACAGTTAATAACAATATATATGGGGGATATGATATATCTGGATCAGCTTAGAAGTGGACACTCACCTGGCTCTTCTGGGCCCTCTCCATCCTGAACCCGGTCCTCTGCAGGAGCCTTCCCCTATGCTGAGAAAGGAGGGAACCACAGCTAAACCCAGTACAGTGTTTAAGTCGGCTTAAGCCGAATGTCAGACCGACGACTCCGTAGGTACCGATGGCTGCATGAAGTGTCTCCAGATACGGAGTACTCCGTACAGGTATGTCCACGGGCGAGCTAACAAAATAGCCAATGAAGAAGGGACATCGGGGGATCTAGCACATCACTTCTATCTTGGATTTCGTTCTCTTCAATGGGATTGGGTAGAACGGGGACGAATGGAGATAGGAAGGGAAAAAAAGGGACTGACGGGCATGCGACGTCGGAAGAGGCCGTTATAGACCCACTTAATTATTGCCGGAGTGAGATATAGCTTGGACTGGGTGGAAAATCATTCTGCTATTGAATGATTGAATTAATTGAATGATTAATTCTAAACAGAAGCAATGCCGCGTTGAAGGATCCCAAGTTTGAGACCCTGAACGTTGTTGACCTGACCCCTTTCCCATCCTCCGAGCCCCTCTGATATCATTCGTCACTTGAACCTTATACCCGCCTCACGATGGGTGAATACGACCAATTTCATACCAACGAGGTGCCCTTTTCTCAAAGACCCATTATAATCCTCGGTGCAGGGATCATTGGTTGTGCAACTGCTCGGCAATTGCTGCTGAATGGTTTCCCCGTGGTATTGGTGGCCGAATATCTACCGGGAGACCAGAATATCTACTATGCTTCGGCTTGGGCAGGAGCAGCGTGGCATGCCGCTGGGGGTATTACTCCGGATCAACGGTATCTTCAAGCTGTCACACATCGCGTACTACTCAAGATGGCACAAGATGGCCCCGAGGCAGGGGTGAGCATTGTCAACGCACGAGAATACCTCGAAGAAAAACCTTCTCCTGACTCGGCAATATGGGGTAAGACAGTAGTATCCAAGGTAATGCGTACTCCATGTGCTTCCCGCTTGACTGATATTAACATCCTCTGTCCGGTTTAGTTCCGCGAGATGAGTCCTGGTGAATACCCGCCCAATTTCAACTGTGCCTGGGCCTATGAGACGCTTGTTACAGATCCTACGAGACATATGCCTTATCTCAGAGAACAGGTTGAGTCTCTTGGGGGTCGCTTTATCCGCCAACGTGTCGAGTCTCTTCAGGAACTGTATGACATGTTCCCCGAATCAGGGATATTCATCAATGCAAGCGGCTGGGGCAGTAAAACCTTGACGGATGTGCAAGATGATAACTGTTTTCCGGAGCGAGGGCAGAATGTGTTTCTGACCACTGATCAATGCAACACACTTCACTTCCGAAATGGCAAGGAATATACCTATGTGATTCCTCGGCCTCTATCCAAGGGGGTGGTCCTGGGTGGGGTGAAGCAACAGGACAATCTGTATGGACATCCCCACATCTCCAAAACGATCCACTCTAACCTCCCTAGGTCACCTGAAGTCGATATGGATATCGCGAGGGATGAGATTGCACGCGCGCATCGGTTAGCGCCTGAAATTGTCCCCGAACACCCAGCTGCAGATACGGTGAGCTACATTATTGGGATCCGACCATCCCGAAAAGGAGGGTTCCGTTTGGATTCGGAGCGAAAGGGTAGTCGGGTGGTGCTCTCCGCGTATGGGTTTGGAGGAGGTGGGTATGCGTTTTCATATGGGATTGCCGATGCGTTGGTGAAGATGGTAGAGCGGACGGAGCATGAGACTGTGATCTTGTAGAAGCATATCGTTCATATATCAGATACTTCGAGCCTCATCCATTCACAATATACCGAGTTATTTCCGTTCCATTGCCCCTCGATGTGGTGAAACAGCGAATGACGTACATCACTTCATATACCTTAGGGGATATCCATGAAGTTCTACAAGTTCAGTTCTACAAAGCAGATCGAATTGCCTTTCTTGGAACATCAGTTTCGCTCATTTGGACATTGTTGACCTTGTTTTTTCTTCTTTTATCCACCTTTGGCCTGGATTGCACTGGAAAAAGTCCAGTCCCGGGCATTTCTCCCGTCCACCCCAACTTTCCCTCTTGACTTTCTTCAGCCTTTCCCCTTTGGACTGATCATCCTGATCCTTATCCCTTTATTGCTTCTGAAAATCTTCTTGAATGACATCCTCACTTCCTCCCAGGCTGTTAGCAATATGCCTGTGGATCAGATGCTCCACCTGAGAATCGACTGTCCTATGAACAATGTCGCGATGGTGATCACGCCTCCGGCCGAGAGTGACTTGAATCTGGAGAACAAATCCCTTGAACAGCCCGTTGTCGGATCGTTGAGTCGCATCTATCGATTTACACCGTGAGAACCCGAACCCCTTGGAGGGATAGCATGGATTATTCCCGTTAACCCCTGTAGGAAACCGACTCTCGTTTTAGACGGCGCTCTGCGAATCGTCGAAGTGTCCAACAGTCATGTGGAAGTCTTCAAGCACTCACGAGACCAACTGTTGGCAGCGAATGTCTACGATCTTCCCCCCTCCATCCTCCCAGCCCCCGATATCGCCTCCCTGATCGGGGCTCTTGGCACTGCCATATCAACTCGCGAAGTGCAGGTCATCCAGCGTGTTCACGTGGCAAAAGTCGACGCTTTCTTCTCACTTAGCGTGACACCCATCTTTGAAGATGACTCGCTGATCTACATGCTACTGGAAGCCCAGCGGATCAAACATCACCGGCATCGGTCGAATTCCATCAGCGACGATGCCTATCCCAACGAAATTTACAAAATCTTGGTCGACACCGTGAGGGATTATGCCATTTTCATGCTCGATACGCGCGGCCATATTGCGACATGGAATTCGGGCGCCGCTATTCTGAAGGGATACACATCCTCCGAGATCATCGGCCAGCATTTCTCCATCTTTTACGGTCGCGATGACCGCGAAATAAAAAAACCCGTCCGCGAGCTGGAGGTCTGTTTACAAGAAGGAAAACTGGAGGATGAGGGCTGGCGTTATCACAAGGATGGCAACCGGTTTTGGGCCAATGTCATGATCACTGCCATCTATCAGAACGGCAGCCATGTGGGATTCGTGAAAGTTACCCGCGACATGACTGAACGCCGGGCGACAGAGGCGCGTTTGATTGACGCCTTTGAAGAATCGGCCAAGCTCAAGTCCGATTTCTTGGCCAACATGTCCCACGAATTGCGCACCCCGATGAATGGCATGCTCTTGGCTTTGACAATGCTAATGAGGACCGAATTGACTGATGACCAGCGGGAATTCGGATCCATCCTGGAAGACTCAACATCTATCTTGCTGCAGGTCATTAACGATGTCCTAGATTATTCCAAGCTATCGTCGGGAACCTTCCCCTTGAACACAGACGTTGTCCACATCCCCGACGTGATCTCGGCTGTCGTTCGGAATTGTCAGTCGGCGCTGAAGCCCGGTGTCAAAATCATGGGCGATGTAAGCGCGGGCTTTCCTCCAAACCTCAAAGGTGACCCGCTGCGATTCCGCCAAGTTCTGCAAAATATGGTCACCAACGCAGTGAAATTCACCGAGAGTGGTCATGTTCGAGTTCATGCCACCTATACCATCGATGAAAAGGACCCCGATATGTATGTAATCTCCACGCAGGTAGTGGACACTGGTATCGGCGTACCCGAAGATGCCTCAAACACCCTCTTCACCCCCTTCACGCGATTCGCGGACACGGCCACAAAAAGGTACCAGGGTACGGGCCTTGGCCTGTCGATATGCAAGAGCCTGGCTGAATTGATGGGTGGAGCGGTTGGTTTCCATGCCAATCCCGACGGACGCGGTAGTGTGTTCTGGATGACAGCCAAAATGGCTCGCCTTACCTCGCCAGTGTCTACAGTGAAGCAGAGATTGCAACCGGCTATACCTGAGGCATTGGATAATTCCGCCTCGCTCGAGAAGATCGCCCCACACAAACACATCCTCCTTGTCGAAGACAACAAGGTCAATCAACTTATTATGTTAAAACTTCTCAGCAGCCTGGGTTTCAAGCGCGTCGATGCTGCCTGGGATGGAGCGGAAGCAGTGCGTATGGTGAAGCAGAAGCCTTTGGCCTATAATGTCATCCTGATGGACATCAGCATGCCGGTCATGGATGGATTAACCGCCACAGAGCACATTCGACGGATGAAACTCGATATGCCCATCCTTGCGTTGACGGGCAATGCTCTCAAGGGAGACGCAGAGACGTATTTGGCGAAGGGGATGGACGATTACATCGCCAAGCCCTTGCATCGGCAGCAGCTGGTGGATTTATTATGGAAATGGTGTGGATCCTGAATGGTTGGTTATTTCAAATTGAGAAGGGAATTGTGCCCTCGAATATCACGTCAGTTTGAGGCCGCCTTTTGATGCGCTCAAGGCACGGCAGTTGAAATATACCCGTGTCAGTGTCATGGACGAGAGACCTTGCGGTCGAACCGTCAGTTTGAGAATTTTCAACCACATCCCCTTACCGATGTGGCAGAAGTGCCGCCATTTTCACCTGAACCTTCCAGGCAACAGTCTGCCTATGTCTTTAGTTCTGGGATTTCTGGGAGTTCATTCAAATTTTGATCTCCAGTTCTCCGCTAATAACCTGCACCCGAACATCGACGGCAATGCCATCCGCCGACATAAAGTTCTCTGCACATGAGATACCCCAAGGGCTTCCATCCTTTGCTCGCATGACTTCTGCCTGGAAAAGGCACATGCAACCGTGTTTCTGCCACCGACGTTGCAATTATGCAGCCTTGGGTGGTCTTCTGTATCAACTCTTCAATACCACTCATGAGATCATCCCTATCTGCGGAGTTTAGGCAGCCGTGTAGTGTATGGATGATATTTGCGATGCAAGACTCGCATGGTCCCCCGTAGTGTCCATGGCGTTGGAATAGCCGCCAATCCTTTAAATCGTAAATTGATGCACAGTGTGTGGAGTGCATAAGACTGGACTTTTACCATTTGACCACCTGGGCAAGTATCCCCCGATAATCCCACCGAATTGCAAGATGATGCTTTAACATCAACAGTGGATTCAAGCCTGATCTTGGTCCCGAACCGATTCAAGTTTTTCCCAACATTTCCGAATGTACAGTAGCAACGACCTCATTTCGGCACCAAAGAACCGGAAATCTTTTGGTTATGATTCGACATTCGACGTCTAATGGTCCAAGCCTTGTGCGTTTGATCATGTACTGGTTGCGAGTCAATCTCTCAGGGGTAGTTTTTTTCCCGAGGTACAACACCGGTGATCCGTTAATTTCGCGTGAGGTCATTGTTCTCATATCGGTAATTGCTAGGATCATGTTCGGAGGTTTGAACCCAATGGAACCTCTACGACCGAAGACGAAGATACATGTTTCTAAGTGTCTTGAATCTCGTCCACTTGATGGGTTGTAACGACGCGGTTTTTGAGAACTTGCCGAAGAACGCAACCCTTCATATGGACCCCGTGTGACCCGCCTTAACTTTCCGAGGGGTGTTGATTTGGTATGGTCACGTTATGAATGGCATGTTCAACCCTTAGCGAGATCATTACAGGCTAATGGCAAACAGGATAAGCTCTATCCTTGCCCTGTTTGGTTGCCGGGGTCTTAGCATCGTTGGTCAACTGGCTGTCCTTCCTCTTGGGTGGGTTTAGTCCAAATGAACGACCTGAATGCTATAAAGGATGCATTGTCCGACGCGGGTCTTTCCCACATGATCCGTAAGTTCGAAGGAGCAAGCTGAATTAGCTAACTCCTTCTAAGACTATTACGATGAGATCTTTCATTGTGCTTTGTGCCCTGTCGGCCAGTGTGATGGCAGTACCAAGGGCTCATAATTATCAATTGCACGAGCGTCGTGATTTCATTCCAAAATCTTGGGTTGAAGGCAAGAAGCTCGAAGGAAATGTGTCACTACCTGTGCGAATCGGGTTGACCCAGTCTAACCTTGACTATGGCCATGAGCTACTTATGGACTTGTGTGGACTTGCGCAATGAATCTACCACCGTGCAAAATTGACATCTGTCTAGGTCCAACCCATACTCGAGTCGCTATGGACAGCATCTGTCCATCAGGGAAGTGCACGACCTCTTTGCCCCGACTGAACAGAGCGTGAATGACGTGCGTTCTTGGTTGGAATCAACTGGTATTGCAAAAGACCGCATCACGCAATCAGCCAACAAGCAATGGATTCAGTTTGATGCCGATGCCAAGGAACTGGAGAATTTGCTGGACACAGAGTACTATATCTACTCACATGCTGAAACGGGCCGGTCGCATGTGGCCTGTCGCGAGTAAGATTGATCATTTGGATTGGATCTATAGTCTCGCTGACCCCTGACTATAGATATCATCTCCCGAGCTCCGTGCGTGAGCACGTCGACTATGTCACTCCAGGGATTTCTATGCGGGAGGTGACTGGTGTACGGAGATCGACTGAGAAGCAGAAACGCGTCGTGGATGGGGCTCCCCCTATTATTGAGCCGATCCTCATACCAATTGAGGAGCTGCTGAGTGAGGCTTCATCCTTTTGCTCCCGAGTCGTTACACCCCAATGCATTCAACGTAAGTGATCTGAGTACGAATACCTACAAGCTGGATGTGTTGACAAGCCTACAGAGATGTATAACATTAGCGAAGGCCACTCTGCTACAAAGGGGAATGAATTGGGAGTCTTTGAGGGTACCGGGGATGTCTACGCCCAGGAAGATTTAGATTTGTTCTTCTCGAACTTGTACTCGTATGTCGCGTTGAATTGAAATTCCTAGTTGATTGGATTTCTGACTTTTTAGCAGGAAAATCCCCCATGGCACACACCCAACTCTCAAGTCGGTTGATGGTGGCCAGGCTCCTACGGACAGTTTCAATGCTGGGGCTGAATCCAACCTGGACTTCCAAATCTCCTACCCGATTATTTGGCCGCAGAACTCCGTGCTTTTCCAAAGCGATGATATGCATTACGAGAATCATTATACCTTCAATGGCTTCCTCAACACGTTCTTGGACGCCATCGACGGCTCGTACTGCAGTACCATCTCGCCTTTGGACCCTCCATATCCCGACCCGGCAGACGGAGGCTACAAGGGCTCCCTGCAATGTGGGGTGTACGACCCGCCCAAGGTCATCTCGATTTCCTATGGCTCCGCCGAAGCAGACCTCCCGATTTCCTATCAGCGGCGACAATGTGCCGAGTTCATGAAGCTGGGTACAATGGGAGTTTCAGTGGTGGTCGCTTCGGGTGATTCTGGTGTGGCTGGACGCGGAGGCGACCCTACCCCCAGCAACTGCCTCGGCCCCGATGGCAGAATCTTTACTCCGGATTTTCCTGCCTCCTGTCCATACCTTACTGCGGTGGGAGGCACTGAAATCCCCACGGGTTCTGCGCCAGGAGATCACAAGGAGCAGGCTGTGTCTAGGTACCCGTCCGGCGGCGGTTTCAGCAACATTTACAAGGCGCCTGACTATCAGGCCCAGGCTGTTGCCGATTACTTTGACAAGGCCAAGCCCTCATACCCATACTATGAGAGCGTGGACAACAGCAGCTTCGGTGAGAATAACGGTATCTACAACCGGATCGGACGTGCCTATCCAGACGTTGCTGCTATTGGTGACAAGGTCATCATCTATTACAGGGGAATTGCCGTGTCGATTGGTGGAACGTCGGCCTCTGCACCGGTGTTTGCTGGAATCCTCACGCGCATCAACGAGGAGCGACTGGCCGCGGGCAAGTCCACTGTTGGCTTTGTCAATCCTGTATTGTACGCCCACCCGGAGGCGTTCTTTGACGTGACCAAGGGCACCAACCCGGGTTGCAACACCGAGGGGTTCTCTGCGACCGAGGGTTGGGATCCAGTGAGTGGATTGGGTGCGCCCAATTATCCCGAACTTTTGAGGGTATTCATGGGCCCGGAGTAGGGTATTTTTAATATAGGGCAACTTGGCTTCTGTGGACACGTTCAAGGATAATGAAGGGGATTCGATGCGATTCGATGCTTTCGAAACTGAAACGATGGTGACATAGCACTGCCATATTGTACCATTCTCGGCCGGGTGACGCCGCAGCGTAATATTGCGGGCTCAATTGGACGATCCGAGAGCATAGCCAACACCACACGGTGACCAAACTGCTGATGTAAAAGAAATCATAATGGAAAATGGACGACATGAAAGAACATGAGAGCCACAAGAGTTCAATCCCGGAATTCGCAGAATGACATCATAACTTACCCCGCGGTCTCTCTTAGATATACCGTCTATGTAGGGTGTACTAAGTATATAGTAGGTTACAAGGATATCCTCTATATTCGCACTCTATATTCGCTACAACAGTAGACATTTCAATAAGCTGAATATGCAAACATAGACGTAAATGAATTTTCTATCATACTCTATATTCAGCTTCGAACATCCATCATTTACCTCGGTGGAGTCTCCTCCGAGATGGGCGGGGATAGGACAGTCCAGAAGCCCCGCCGGAGAACTGAACAAGTTAAAGACTGGGGGATCTTCTTCTCTTCCTCTTCCTCTTCCTCTTCCAAACTATTCTTAAACCGCTTTAAACATCATGTCTCTCGGCAAGAAAGTCACTCTCAACACCGGCCACCAGATCCCGTGCGTATATTCGGTAGAAAATACTGAGAAACTTCACTGACTCCACGTCCAGCCAGCTAGGATTTGGTACTTGGCAGTCTGCTCCTGGCCTGGTCGGCGAGGCTGTTTATGAGGCCCTGAAGGCTGGCTACCGCCACCTGGTGTGTACATGTTCATCTATCATTGCTTCGGACTGTTGGCTAACCCGCACTTCTCTCAGGATTTGGCAACGATGTATGCAGCACCAATCCCTCCGGCATGAAATATTACCTATTACAATTGCACCATACTTACAAGCTACCGCCTGTTTACAGCTACCAGAACCAGCGTGAGGTCGCCGAGGGCATCAAGCGTGCTTATAAAGATGTTCCCGGTCTGAAGCGGGAGGATATCTTCATCGTAAGTCGAACTATACCAACTTGGGATGTTACATGATTTCACAAACTGACGTGTCACGTTGCAGACCTCCAAGCTATGGAACACGTACGATATCTCGAACTCCATTGTTAGACTACCAATTTATTGACTCTACATGTAGCCAGCACCGCCCGGAGGTTGTCGAGGCCTCTTTGGATGCTTGCCTTGCCGAGCTTGAGTTGGATTATCTTGACGTATGATGATCCCATTTAGTGAAACCGTGAGACATGGCTGACAGACAAAGCTTTACCTTGTTCACTGGCCCGTTGCCTTTCAGAAGGGCGATTCATACTTCCCGCTCGTTGCCAACAGCACCGTCGAGGGTGGTGATGTGATCATTGACGATGGTGTCTCTATTGTGGACACCTGGAAGGGTACGTGGATATATTGTGCGAACAAAACTCAGACCCGACTAACTCCTCTTAGCCATGACCCAGCTCCCCAAGAGCAAGGCTCGCTCCGTCGGTGTCTCCAACCACAAGATTGAGCATGTTCGTATCCTCCTTGTTCCCAAACTCGCCATACACAAACTAATACCCTCGCAGATCGAGGCTCTCATCAAAGCCACCGGCGTCGTCCCTGCCACCAACCAGATCGAGCGCCACCCCGTGCTTCAGAGCAATGACCTGATCGAATACTGCCAACAGAAGGGAATCCATGTCACTGCTTACTCTGTACGTATCTATCTTTTGGTTGATTGCCGAGAAACCCAATGCTGATCCAGCCTCTAGGCATTTGGTAACAACCAGTTCGATATTCCCCTGCTCATCACCCGCCCCGAAGTCAAGGAAGTTGCCGAGTCCGTTGCAAAGCGCACTGGCCAGGAAGTCAGCCCCGCCCACGTCATGTAAGATCTTACCAACCCCTCTGTGGTACCATTCCATGAAAGCTAACAGTATTCTAGTCTCGCCTGGTCTCAAGTCGGTGGACACAGTGTCATCCCTAAGTCGGTCACGCCTTCGCGCATCCGTGACAACTTCAAGGAGATAGAACTCACCCCCGAGGAGGTCCAGAAGGTCAGCGCTTTGGGCCAGAACCGGAAGCGCTACAACACCCCTTATGTTGCCAACAAGCCTCGTTGGAACGTTGATATCTTCGGCGAGCCCGAGGAGAAGGCCGCCGATCACAAGGTTATTCTGGGTATTTAAGCCCACCGATCACCCCAGGCACCATATCAATATTGTTTACAAAGTTCAAAAAGACTTGCCTTGGTGCCGATATATCCACCTGTTCAATAATCAACACCATAATGTGTAAATGCCTGAGCCTATGCCTGTGAAGTGCCTGATTTCGGAGACATTCTCTCTAGTCTAGTTTTGACACAAAGTTGGTTGGTGGTGGTGACATATGACTTAATGCGAGGATTTTAAAGGCTACATAAGCCCATGCAGATACAACATTGTAGGCCATAGTATCTTGGTCGTTGACAGTGCGTTTATGACATGAAGCGACTAGATTTGAAGTAGTAGTGCAACGCAAAGAGATAACGGAATCTCACATAGCAGTCGAGATGACATATATTCCTTCTAGATCCTCCAAGACCATGACAACCCAACAGATGCGAAAAGCCCGAGTAATGATAGTATGAGAAAGAAAACCTGCAAGCCTGTAAAGCCCACGGCATTCTCTATCTTGGCGAGGAGGATCGGAACCACAGCCGTACTCAGGCTATTGAGACTGGTCATAATTCCATAGCCAAGTGTGATGATGCCTTCACCCGTCTCCCCCGGCAAGTTATCTCCGTCAGCATCAGAGCGATCATCAGAGAGTTGTGTCGGGAGTTGAATGGTCCCATATTCGAGTTCATCTGAAGCTCTGCACCCGGCCTCTGGCATATTTGTCTTTGACGAGCAGGACTCGACGATGGAGAGGAGACATCGCGCGAGCCCGGCCCAAAATACCACACCATAAGATGCAAACGCTATCCCCAACATACACATCGGTCCAATCGGTCCTATTCTATAAAGCAATAGAAGATGCGCTGCCATCATGAGGATATTAGTGGCACCAAGGGCCCCCGGGTAGCTTCGAAACCATGGCAAATTCAACAACAGTCCAAATACGGGAGTCAGAATCCCAGAGAGGAAGTATGGTATACTAGATAGGATCAATGTCAGCTTTGGACAGCGTGATGGTAAATTGACTTACCCTGTGGCAAATCCAGCCTTGCGTTGATCTCCATCGTAGAACCATGCGGCTAGGAACCGCTGCGCAGAGATAGTGAAAGTATTGATACCTCCGTAGCCCAGTATGCAAATTAAGGCCAACTGCCAGAAGATAGCGGGAAACCGACGAAGCGATTTTATCGAATCAATGTTCTCACTCTCATGGTGCGAAGTTGTAGTGTCAACGGCTAGTAGATAAAAAGCACCAGTAACAGCGACTCCCAATGGCACTATCGACCCGATCCATACAACGCATACCACGCCAAAGCTTTCGACCATCCTGGGGACGAAAACGGAGGCTCCGACGGAGCCTAGTCTCGATATGCACAGAACCATTGACAGCGCCAAAGATAGTTCCTTGTCCCTGAGCAACAGATGTTAGCAGCACCCCGAGTTTGATAGAATCGGAGCTCACTTGAACCAGCGCGTTGTGATTTCACTTCCTAGGACGCCAATTATCTCTCCGCCTAAGCCAATAAGCACGCGCCCAATCATCATCCCAGACTGGAGTCGCAACTGAGTGGCGACAGCGAAGATCAACTGGCCAACTATTACGCTCGTGAGGGTAGCCAAGAGAACCGTTCTTTTCCCTACCCGCTGTACAGCGAACCCCGAGAAAAAGGGCAGGATCGTGTTGGGTGCCGCGTAGGCTGTATAAAGCGCAGAGACGAAATACGTATACTGAGAGCTTGAAAGTAACAAATGTTCCTGTAATGAAACCGACAGGGGGGCGGGAAGATCATAAACTGGACGAATCAGCTGTGCTCCCAGGGTGAAAAGTCGATAGAGGTACTAAAGTAAATCCCCCACATTAATGTGCAGACTGCCATAAGCACGCGCCAGTGTCTGTCTATTAAAGCCCCCATCTTTCAAACGTGTGAATATCAAAGTGGTGTGAAATGGCAGACAAAAACGAGGGGTGGGATCTCGTCAACTACACCGAACGAGCCCAAAGTGAGCGTCATGATTCGTCCCGGAGTATTCTTGTTGGTGTTTGCCATCTCGGGGCTTCATTCGTTAGATGTATTTGTGTCCACTTCGCTAGCTTAGCTGAATCTTTTTGCTATGCTGCCCTTTGTATGTTGTATAGCTCGTATTCGACCCCTCTATGACGTGGCATGCATGATGCACGATCATTAGCGCCATGAAGATCGCAAGATCAAGAAGACCCGTGCGCAGGGAATATTTTCCCTGCAGAAAACTGATATCCACATGGACAGACAAATGGGTATAAATAGTCACCGTGTGAACAGTCTTGTCTCTGATTGTTTTCACTGCCCAAGATTCTTTAGAATGACAATTCCTAGTCTTGGCCGTGTTGCCTCATTGTTTCCTCATATCGAGAAAGATTGGTGGAAGAAGGCCTACAATGAGATGTACCTCTACACCGATGGTGACTGTGTCGAAGTCCCCGCAATCACAGAAGCCGAATGCAACGACATCATCGGAATATCTAGCGTGCAACAGCTGTTGAAAACCCAAGAATCTTCGATCAAGGTATTGGATCTATGCTGTGGCCAAGGCCGACATAGCATCAATCTTGCCAAACGCTTTCCATCGGTGAATTTTTACGGCATCGATCAGAGCACATATCTCCTTGACCTTGCTCGAAAACGCGCAATAGAAGAAAACGTGCAGAGTAACGTCACGTTTCAGAAGGGAGACCTTCGTCGGATTCCTGCATCGGATTGTTCCTTTGATCTGGTCATACTTCTGGGAAATTCTTTTGGACACTGTAATGATGAAGGAGACCTACAGTCCCTCCGGGAGGCCTCTCGGGTCCTGAAACCAGGAGGAATTTTCGTCATTGACCACGTGGATGGAGCATGGATTTGATCCAACTTCAGTCAAAGTGGATGGGAATGGCTTGAGGGCAAAGAAAAACTTCTGGCCTGCCGGGAACGAGAGCTGTCTCCCGACAAAACCCTCCTCGCTAGCCGAGAGATTGTGATTGATTTGGAAGGTCCTTCGATCCGCCAAGATCTTTTCTATTCCGTCAGACTTTACGATCTGGAGGAAATGGACAACCTTCTCCAAAGATCTGGCCTATTCCTTCAAGCAGAAGATGGGATGCAGATCACAGCGACCAAGCGAGACGGCCCTGTGGACATGGGTATGATGGAACGCAGGCAGTTGATCGTTGCACAGAAGCCAGTCAAGTCCACAGCTGCCAAGCCCCCAGCTGTCGATGCTCTGGAGCAAGACGCGGATATCTACGTGCATCCAAACCTGACACAAAGCTACAATCCTCACAAAGGAAGATTGCTACAAGTCTCGGCATTTGTGTCAGCCGGTACCATGATTCTGGCAGATACACCATATGCTTTGATCCCGTCTGCGGATCCATCCCATCCTGATGCCTCGATTTGCAGTAACCTGAAATGCCGCCAACAAGTGTCACGGGACACACATAGAGAGATTTGCCAAAGGAATTGCATCCGGGATGTTGTTTGGTGTGACAATCGTTGTCGGACGGCAGACCAGGCTCGGCATGACTTTGAATGCGCTTGGTTGAAAAACTACGGAGAAAGTCTTCGTCAAAACGAGGGCCAGTATGCATTTGCCATGCTTTGGACAGTCATGCGTCTTCTAGCTGGAAGGTACATTGAGTTACAGGCAGGGTTCAAGCCATCTGAGCTCTATTCCTGGGAAGATCGGTTCAAGCGGGGGTGGGATTCCATTGAGATCCTCCACAGTAACCGGGAGAGGTGGCCTCAGACGCAGATTTTGCACTGGAAGAGGCTAGTTGAGGTATATCTAACTCACGATAATCAGTCAGACCTTAGCGTTGATGATCTAGTGGATCTCATCTGCAAAGAAGAGTCTAATTCGTTCGGGCTATATCCAAGTGACACTGGGATATTTCCCATTCCGGACCCCCCAATCGAACGAGGCGTGGATTATGGCTTGGGTATCTACCCAAGAGCCTCTATAGTCAACCATTCCTGCATTCCAAATGTAAGTTACCCCTCGAGAATACTAGATTTCAAACATACTCAAATATCCTAGGTCATCTGGAGAGCAGACAACAATGGGCGGATGGTATTGACTACCTCAAAAGATCTTGCCGCAGGCGACGAGTGCTTTATTTGCTATTTTGATCTATGCAAATATGTAGATTTCAAAGCACGGCAAAAGCTGCTGCGAGAAGACTTCCTATTCTCTTGCGCCTGTGAGCGATGCACTCAAGAACAGGCCGAGGAAATATATGGCCGCTTAGAGTAGCAGTTAGGTCTACCACGTTCAATTGCAAAACAACTTAAGATGACCGAAAAATATAATGTAACTGATCTTCTGGGTAAGATCCACCGTCAAGGGCTGTCTGTATATAAGATCACTGAAGACTCTTGCCTCTGCTCGTGGGGGCTTGGGCCCTTGGGGACATCAGTCAGAGACCTGGAGATGCTCATGAAAGTCTGACCAATGCAGAAGACATGTGAATTTAATTATTCCACCTTGTTTCCTCCAAGTCCGCCCTACGACTCGGGCTCATCCACCACACAATCCAACAATTCTGCGATGCTTTGAACCTTCACATGTACTCGATGGATCCAGCTCGGACTCTGCCAGTGGGGGAACCAAACAACCTCATGATCTACCTGGCGTGATGCCCTATACTCCTCTGAAATGTGATGGATATACGTTGGCCTTTTCTATTCTCACGGCATTATACTAATTCTTCAAAGAACACAACCTGCGCCATTCCGTATTTAGGATGATTGGTGGAATGTCGTCACTCCATTCATGAATCCCAAGCAAATCACTTTCCTGCATTGAGGAATTCCCACCAATGGGAGGAATGAGTGTATCAACCCACATGTGAGAGCTATAAGTTTATATGAAAACACTTCTTTCGCGGAGAATGACTCTAACCCCAATAACTCACAAAGGTTGCATCCATGTACACAATAATGGACGTGATCTGGAAAGCAACCGGAGTAGCCCTCCTCAGTATCCTATCTTACGTTCAGGCATATCCTTCCAGTGCATTTGCATCCTCGCATAAGACTCCATTTTTTTGTTTTGGTGGGTGATAGCACCACGGCAACTCAATCCTCGAACGGAGGAGGATGGGGAGATGGACTTCTCAATACAACCCTTTTCAAAGGAGCATCTGGTCGCAATTTCGGTCACAACGGTGCAACCACTGTTAGCTTCCGGAGCGGAGGTTATTGGGACGAGGTTCTAACAACCGTGAGACAAGTTCGAGACGACTATCATCCACTTGTTACAATCCAATTCGGCCACGACGACCAAAAGCCCGCAGCAAACATTTCATTATCACAATACACCAGGAATCTTGAAAGATTCGTGACTGAGGCCTCTAATGCTGGGGCTACACCGATTCTCGTCACTCCTCTATCTCGGCGCAACTACGATAAATCAACAGGGACACCGCGTATCGTCATGAGTCTCGCCAATGAGACCTTGGCCACCATCATTGCCGCTCATCGCTCAAACGCTGCCTATATTGATCTGAATAAAACTAGCACCTGGTATCTCAATGCAATCGGGCCAGAAAATGCTTTTACATACAACCTCAACCCAGCGGATTATACCCATTTGAACGTGCCGGGGAGCATTTTGTTTGGGGGAATTGTGGCCGAACTTATTACGCAGAAACTTGGGACTCTGGAAAAGTCTGGATATCTGCGCGTGAATGACAAACTGAAGAAGAATGTTGATTATGGGATCTATTACTGGCCTTGACTCGACCAGAGATTGTGATTGCGGAGAATCATTACTTGTCTAAGAATACAACGTCTTATTTCAAAATACAAGATGCTGCCATATACTTGTATTCATGTCGGTTCAGGCCTGACTTGAGGATATGTATGTCCACGGTCCCATAAATTTGATCAAATTAACATCGCCATCTTTCCTATACCCCTATCAAACTACATATCAACCACAGGTGGCTACTTCTCCTCCTCATGAGAATGCTTTTGAAGGAACAAAGCTTTCACCGAAGGGTAGGTGCGCACTTCGAGATACTCGGACAAAGCGGAAGTCCCCTCCTTGTCACCAAGATCATAACTAATTGACTGTGGTGTCCTGCCCTTGGCACGTTTGCCAAACCAAATTGCATGGACCCAATTGATAGAGACTTCGAAGCCTTCACCTTGGTCGTGGATCAAAATTGTCGCACCATCCTCACTTTCGAATCGATCGTCAATATCGACCCGCTCCTCCTCGCCCCATGATCCACCGAGTTTGGAATTGAAAATGATTTCATCCTGAGCTCGGCGAATGGAGAGATGGAAGATGATATCATTCTCTGCATCCAGGATTGAAATCTGTGTCATGTCGATGCCATTGGATTGGACAAGATCCACGCTCGACGACTCGAGGAGAATGACACTGTCCGCCTTGAGAGTCTGCTGGAATTTAAGACTGCTGTGAAGTGGCAGATTCGCTCTTGGTCGTTTTGGTCTGACTGAAGTTAGCGATCATATTTCCATATCTATCCCTCATTTATAGGAGTCGGAACTTACCGGGGAGCCGGTGGGTCAGTCTTTGTCTGCTTCAGCTCTGGATCCAGCGCTCCATCAGCACCGCCAGTGATTGTAGGCTCTTGCTTGAAATTCTCAAAGGCTGGCGGAGTAGCGGGGTTGGTGAAGTGCGTGGTGTCGTTGCTGCTGCCAATGATTTCCAACTCCAGTTTCTCAACCTCGTAGCGAGGTAATTCTTTCTCGTTCTACGAGAGATCAGCAAGTTTCATACAATGGTGGCAGCTAGTGACTAGGTATGCTTACCTTGAATACCCGCCAGTATGCACGCTTTCTTATGTACGCCAAGACCTCGTCGCGAGTCAACGTCTTCAGTTTCCGTCCGCCCTTGAGAAGCTTGTAGAGAACCGGGGTAATTGGGATGTAAGCAGTTGACTTGACGCGCGATTTTTGTCCTTTTTTGCAGTTACCGCAGACCGAAGAGCCATCCAACTCGGGCTTTTGGCTGAAGTTGTACACCTCAGCGATCAAGTCTGTCAGTGGGGTTTGTATGCCGTCCTCTTGGGCGAGATACAATTTGACCCAGAAAGGTTGCCCTCCCAATGCGTATCTAAGTCATTCAAAATTATTAGATGTAAATTCTTGTTGCAGCAGATATTTCTCAGGGACAACGTACTTCAAGAATCGAACACTGAAGGCGAAGTCGGTAATTTTGAGCCCACCGTCAATTGCCTCAACGCCCTCTGGGGTCGGAGCTTTTGGGTCCAATGCCAAATCACGCGACACACCATACAGTCGGTTAACAATGGTGATGATGTTTTCCTTAAACAGGGCTTGGTCGAGTGTTCCGTCCTCCTGGTGATACTTGCTGTCCCACCGTGGCAGCTCTGGATAGGAATATCCGAGATTGGAAGGAAATCTAATTCCTTCAGGGGTCCAATAATTTCCTTCAGCGTCACGTCTAAACGGCTGAAGGGGAGTGTTTTCGTCCACAGGATGCTCTTTGCCAAATGAATCACGGATGGTAGCATTGTCGCCATGAATGTTATCCATCCACTTGTCCGGGTTGAGAGCTTGCCAAATTGCGAAGAGACGATCAATATTGCTACAAGCAACTGTTAATCACAGTTGCATTCCCACGTGGTCGAAGAAGATCATATACTTACCAGTGATGCAAGAAGAACAGCGGGTCAAAAGAGGCAACTGGTACATTTCCCATATGTCCGCCAGCACCTGCCCAGCCGTGGCTTTAAGTCAATGTTGTTAGTGTCTGAAGCGACTGATAATAGCACAAAGTAAATGTAGACATCGATTTTCCGGCTGGTCGAGTACTTACACATTGTTGTGGATCTATCCAGGTGAATTTCCAGTCAGTTACTGTGCTCCGACATGACAAATTAACATACTCACATATTCTATGTTCAAGTCCTCGTCGACGTTTTGATCTTTCGAGGTTGGATTTGTGCTTGCAAACGTAGTGTAGTCCATGGGCACAGTAAGCAGCCTATACACCATTTCAGCAGCAGGACCATGGTTCTTGTCATTGTATCCATCGTGAGAGTTGAAGGCATCTGCCACTTTGCGGTTATTGACAACACCATGACGCCAGCCCTGACTGGTTGGATTCTGGTCATCTTCATCCGGCCAACGGCTGGTTCCAATTGCATTGCCAAACTGATCAAGTTAGCTCGGTTTTGTCTTCACATTGCCTAGATCATACATACGTTCTTGTACTCTTCCTGTTCGGTGTCATTTTCCCATGTGTTTTCGGTACCGACGCCCTCGCTTCGCATCGGCTTGTCTGTGGGCATGCGAAACTGAAATAGAGGATTGTTGATTCGATCCGATCCGCCCTCGGGCCTAGGAACAGTGATGGTAGGGTATTTGGCCAAGTCAGGGACACGGCCATTTCGTGCCCAGTCCCAGAAGGGAAGACGCCATGACTCGGCTTGTTCACGCCATGAAGCTTGATCGGCTTCCGGAAATTGAGGGATAACTTCCTTGATCATGATGTCATACACGACTTGCTAGAATGAAATCAGTACAAAATTCCTCCCAGATATCAGGTCCTCCTACCTCGAAAAGAAGCACATATGGCCGGTGCCAAATGGGAAATATCACATGAGAGTGGAAGCAGTAGCCATTTTGCATGGGCTCTGGGCTAGGATCATCCCATCGTACAAACGGTTGTCCATGAATACCTGGTCAAATGCATGTCAAATACCATCAACAGAAGCTGATCAAGCAGAACCTACCGGCGACCTGAAAGTAAGACAGTCTTTCTTTGGGGTCCAGCTTCTGGAAATTGTCCAGAGCCAGGATGAAAAGATCCACTTGCTTTTTGTTGGACTTCTTGCCGCTCCATTCGTCGATATCCTGCCGGACAAAGACCTTTCGGTTGATGCCATCATCAGGATTGGAATCTTTGGCCGGAAACCGGGCTTGGATCTGGTAGTACTCGTACGCAGATGATTCAGATGCCATCTTATCGGCTGGTGGAATTATCGAAATTGTTGAAGCAATACTTCGTTTGGAAGATATTTTTCTCAATCGCCCGAAGAGGTGCATTCGAAGTTATGGAAGAATGTACTTGGGGACACCGGGTCGAGGCGAATCTTTTATATTATTTCTTCCACAACTTGTGAAGGTAGGACAGGCTGAACAGCAGTCTCAGACTCCTGCAAAGCAATTAATGATCGACATTGAATGAACTTTAACATATGCTGTCTTGTCACATTTTAATGCAAGCCACGCATCAGAGCGTAGCCGTCAGCTCTACAGACAACGCCATTTACGACCGCCCGTGCAGCGTGAGGAAATTATTGGCGACCAAACAATGCAGGTATTCGTTCTCAGCCAAAATCTGCTAATGCCGTCTACTATGGGCGTCTACTTCAAAATGGCAACTTACAGCTATAGGCAGCTGCGACCTCAACCTAGAGCGGTTTGACATGATCTGACTCGGAGATCACCAATCAAATGTTAGACAAGATTTTGATTTGGCCTGCATGCTGGCTTGGCAATTGGCACGAACTAGGGTTCATGAAATTGCTTCAGCTCTCCCAGCTAGCCACAAGTATTGTAATTCAACACTCAGCTACGCCAACTCCTAGCTGCCAAACTAGTGCCTTTGGCTTGACTCACTCAATTTTGCTGCTGCATCGTTTGCGCCAGCCACTCAATGCTGTAGCTTGGGTTACGCTGAGCGGTTAATCTATCATTGGTGCATGTCAATTTGTTTTTATGTTTGCCATTTTTTTACCCTGCTGAAGATTGAGAGAATAAGGAAAGGGTGAATATACGCCATATATAGTTTGGTCACTTAGTATGATTGTACATGGATATATGAATCTGAATAATGATCCATTTTGATGATGCTAGAGTAAGGTGAAAAGATCGAAAAGTGCAATTTCGAACTAGCATCTTATATTGAGACATCCATGAGCCACCAAGTTAGTATTGATACCACAGTGAGATATTCCATGTAAAGCGGCGGCTTATTCCCCATAGCAGAAGATCTGCATAGGAAACTGGAACTAGAGCATTCCAAAGCTCATGATCGTCGCGTAATGCCCCTGTTCTCGCATTACCCCTATTTCCTTCGTCGAAAATCCCATTTCATACCATCGAAGACGGGCGGCTTCGCACAGATGATTGGTGCAAATATCTCTTTTAATTCAACCTGATTTTGGACACGAGAGCTGTGGTCAACAAACCGTAGGTCAGTCGCCAGCTCTGATAGCTTCAACACACAAAGAATTTGAGAATGGTGGTTGTTTGTAGCGCTCAGACCAGGTGGCCGTCCTTTGTCTTGAAAGCTCGATAGAGGACAATACTTGGATGCTCTGTGCCCCAAAAAATTCGCATGCTCGCAAGCATTCATACACGATGGGAGTAGGGACCAATAGCGCAGTATCCTGGATTGAAGTCAGACATACTCACAGTACACATGGATTGATCATGGTCGAGGACTGACCTGAGATATTTTGCGTATATGATCAATGGATCTGTTTCTTGGATCTTTTCATGCCCTGGTGAGTACCATATCACCGAAGAAAGATAGCCAAGAACGTACGCCCTTAACTAGCGAAAATCTGTGTACAGAATGTCAAGCATTGATCACTTGCACTACATCAATACTAGAAACTTCGAGAACACGCGTCAGTTCAAGAATTCAAATTCCCGATAAAAGACCATTGACATATACTAAAGCATGACTGCAACGAGAATGATTCCCTAATAATAAAATAAAATGCTGAATGGATAGGAACATATGATGATGCTCCAATACTTGTTTGGTACCTGCTCTTCTCTGTGTAGTAAAGGAGGGCAAGGCAATGCAGAAGACAAAAGAAGATATTCCTTTCCAAATGATGTGTGGCGAGGAGCAATGAGTGGAGTGAACGTTCGTTCTACTCGGTCCCAAACCTGGTAATTGGCTCAAGGCCAAAGATATTCATATGGATAGACGAGGCACCGTTTATGTCTCCAGACTCCGCAATAGTCTAAATCAAGCTCCGAACCTCCATATAGTTGTAGCAGGAATACATAACCAGCCCTTGCTCACATCTCATAGAGTTCAGTCGGAAATTGATGCAACTCGTCTATCTGGGCCCAGTAATAATGCGGGAAATCTAAACATATTCTGTTCGCGCACCGTTCGCTGGAACTCGACTAGATATGTATACTGGGTTTGAAGAAACCCGGTCGCACGCGTGGGATGCAGCGTGACGCGCTCCTCGCTTGAAGAGGCAGAAATCGAGTCAACAACCTTTCGGCTTTTTGAAAAACCCGGGTGCGCGGGGAAACCGAGGATGTTCAGAATCCGCCGAGAAACAGCGAAGTGACGAGAAAGGTGAGAGAGTAATCAAGGGGTGAAGATCAAGTGCTGAAGTCAGCATAGATACGATATTCCGATGTTGATGTAGAATAGGAGATGATAGGAGATGAGAGGAATATAACTTCTACAGGATTCTACTAAATGAGCCAATCTTCACTGTAACATAGTGCTTGTCATGTACATTATCTCATTTTTCCATAATCCCCGAATTCAAACTCCGCACCTCTACCAACTCCCACCTTTCTAGTACATGCAAAGGACACAACACTTTCGCTAAATCACAAATTGGCAAATCTGATACCGGACTTCTGCGCCGTAAAAGTGGAGATCAGATCCATCAGCGCCGGCGACAGCACGTCGTATGTCTCCAGTCCAACGGCCTTGAATTTGGCTCTCACTTCATCCATCTCTTTGGGGTGGAAACCCTGTTCAATAATGGATGAGACGAACCCGGCGAATTGTGGTTCCTGCCAGCCTGTTTCATCGGACAACTCCACGTGTACAAAGTCGAGACCCTTGAAAGGATGGTCCTTCTCGATACGCCCGAAGAGGTGAACACCGCAGTCCTTGCAGGCATTGCGTTGAATGGTAGCATCCTTGTCCACAATCGAAAGCTTCGAGGCATTGGCTGTCACCGAGACGGCGTCTCGCGGTACAACGCCAACCACCGAGAAGAGAGAACCGGATGGCTTCCAACACTTGGAGCAGCCACAGGCGTGGTTGTGGGCAACATTGCTATCCAGGGTGATCTCGACCTGGTTGGAGGCGCAGTGGCAGTGCAGCTTCCCTCCGGAGAAGCTACTGGAGCCTGGTGTGATTCCATTGTCGATGAGAGGGTGGAGAGAGGGTGCCATAGTGAGAAGAGTGAAGTGAATGGGTATAATCGAGGTTAATGGAAGAGTTGAGAGGGAATGTCGACTCCATTTATAAGTAAGGTAAGCTCCAACATCAATGCTCCTCACATCTCCTCACGAGGGGTAACCGGCGTATTATCGTAGTATCTAAGAACGATATAGATTGCCAATGCGGGGGGTTCGGGTCCTGAATGGGGAAATAATTTCCTGTTTAGTCTCGGGATCGATACCGATCGTTTCTTTGTAGGGGGAGAAGGGAAAATTCGTCATGAGGGGTCTATTCAGCTCTCCAATTCTCTTCTATTTGGTAATTCTTGAGAATTCTTGTAATGAAACAAGTCGGAGACGTTGAGGTTCTCTTTTGGAAAACGAGAGATGACAAAGATGACAAAGATGACCATGACCTTTCCCCGCCGGGCCAGCTGAGACTCATCTTTCTTTCCTTGACTCCTCGATAGTTGGGTTTCTTTCTCCTTTGCATTCTCTTGACTTCTGTCCATGACCAAAATTCTGGAGACTTCGACTCTTTCACATGACGTCATCGATAAGGAGCAAGCCGCGCGAACGGTTCAGGTACACGAGGAATTCCGGTGTTGTTGATGTCCGCTGACCATCGGTAGAGAATATATCGTGGTTATCGAACGCGACGAGAGCTGCATGGACTGCACTTGGCTGCTTCCACTAGATGGATTGAGGTACGCGTATGACATGTGTATTTTGCGCGAAACCGATCGATTCTGATCTTGTTTGTTTGGTCCCTCTAGGCCTTTCGAGAAGCCCAGTGGCACCAACTCCATCAACCCGAGCCGAGCGTGACCCCCAGCGATGATGATGGCTCCAATCAAGCTCGCCGGAACTGGCAACGAGTGGTTAGTGTTGCTATGCGCGTCGGCGGCGACGACCGTTTTCCGGAAGTCTCGCCTTCTACGGTGAATCGATCAGAACATAACACAGAGATTACTGGAGCTAAGCCGAAGATGATGGATCTTCAATACTTTCTCGAAATGGTTGATCTCAAACATCGACACGGAAGCAATCTGCGCTCGTACCACACGTGTTGGCGGAATACATCATCGAACGAAAACTTCTTCTATTGGCTGGACTACGGCGATGGGAAAAATATTGAGCTTTCACAGTGTCCACGAGAAAAACTTGAGAAAGAACAAGTCCGCTATCTCAATCGCGAGGAACGTTTGAATTACATGGTGATAGTTGACGAGACTGGACGTTTCCGCTGGGCCAAAAACGATGAACCAGTGTGGACAAACACTGCACGTTTTAAAGATAGTCTCCAAGGGATTGTGGGAATCGAGGATGATGTGCCTCAATTCAACGGAAACTCGACAGTTCTACCAGATTCCACCTGGGACTTGTCACCATCAGCATCATGTTCATCATGTTCATCATCAACAATATCAACAAAGTCTAGAAGACACAGCCCTGACGATGTCCTCTCAAATCATGACCCGAAGCATTTCACCGATGAGGAGTACACTGCCAAGACGATGAAAAAAGTGGTGCACGCAAGCCCCGCTGCTGCATTTAAGCGACTCTGGGGCAAGTCCTCAGAGAAAGAAGGTATCTGGCTATTCGTGAGTCAGGTTTGGATCCGTGGTTGTTAGATGCAGACTAAACCAAATTTACCTTAGGTTGCAGATACCTCTTTTCGTCTATACATCGGCATAAAGAAATCAGGTGCCTTTCAGCATTCATCTTTTCTTCGAGGTGCCCGTATCGCAGCAGCTGGAACGATTAAGATCAAACATGGCCAACTTCGAAGCCTGACACCGCTTAGGTGAGTTCAGTCAAAGCTTTCATCCATCGACTTCTATCATTACTCGAAACGGTAGGCTAACCTGTTCAGTGGCCATTATCGGCCTCCAGCTGCCAATTTTCGAGCATTCCACCACGCCCTACAGCAACAAGGCGTTGATATGTCCCATGTTTCGATGAGCAAGTCTTATATCATGCTCGCTGGAATTGAAGGTTACACCAAAACGAAACGAAAGGCACGTGCTGTACATGAGAAGGTCGACAATTCCAAGCAAAAGTTCCATCAATCCGAAGAATAAGTGCGGGGACATATGTACAGATTACATTACTATATGTAGGCATTCACAATTAGACAGAATGCAAGATTTCCAATTGATGAAAGGTCCTGACTACAGAGGAAGGAGTGGTCAACTGGAAGTGGAAAGATGATGGATTGATGGAAAATGGAGAACTAGCTACTGTCCTGAAGCTGTGTCTATATAGCTTCACACCACGAAGCCAGCCAGATTACATCTACCAGAAAACAGAAGAAGCATCTCTGCAGACGTACAAATGAAATGTCAACGCAGCAAGCTGAACGGCAAGCTACACGTTTGGCGGCAAGCTGTCTGTCAGAGAAGTCAAAGAGAAGGGAAGGAATGCCACAAAGAAGGTCTACAAACTGCATAGGGCAACAGTGAGTATGTCAGAATGTATCACCAACCACCTCAGGTTGGATTGTATGGCGAATAAGATAATCTGAAGGTCCCAAGCTGCGGAACCTTGGAAAACTCCGTGACTTATATAATCCGAGTGCAATCCCGTGGTCGGAATCTTCGGGCAGAATATCCGTGAATTGGAAGACTCGCAGACTCGTGCACTCGTAAAGTCGTGAACTCTGTATCAATCTACATAAAAGCTATGGCCAAGTCCAAAGCGGCAAAGCGTAAGCGCAACGCACAAATCGATCTTCCACAAAAGATTCCGAAAGCAGTACCGAATCTAACACCGCCTCCCGATGGCATACCTCTCGAGCCCACGCATCTCAATGCCGTCGTCTCAGACGAGGAACTCGACATTACAATTGAGACGCTCACGGCGCTTGCACAATATCCAGGCCTGACAAAGTCGAAGGCATGCAAGGATCTGCGAGTCGCGGTCTATGACTTCCGCCAGACATGCACTACGGGTGTTAACACTGCCGGTATGTTGCGTTATTCCTGCTCAAAGACTGTCGCTAACCGTTCGAGAGAGGGCGCCAACTTGACAGCTCGAATAACCGGTGCATTGGTGGACGAGAAATACATTGAAGCCAAGATCTTGCTTGCAGAGATGAGGATCAGGGGGGAACAACCCAAGATTGGAGCATTGTGTCGCTGGGTGCGAGATCTGGATGTCGTCAGCGGCCTCTCGACGCAGCATAAATCACACGATCATGTCTCCATTCAGCGCAGTGTGAAGGAAAACGAAATCCTGGGCGTCCTTGATGCCATCCTGCGCGTCAGCACCCCGATTGACACCAACACAAACGCCGTTGACTCAACCAATCCCATCGCCTTCCAGTCCATCTGGGACCTCCGCCCCTCGACGACGCCACTTCCCGTCTACGCCTCAGTCCTTGACAAATCAATTTTGGATGAGGCACCCAAGTCTCCATCTGCTCTCCGCATCATCGAACAAACCCCTGGCCCACTCCGCAAACCCCCAAACCACCATCCGGCTATTCTCTATACCACCGCGCCGAACGCCGTCCCACTGGCTCCTGTCGGTCCTTCCATAACATACCACGCACATCCCGCTGTGCCAGGCCTTGGCCTTGCACTCAATGTCCTATCCCCCACCGAGTGCAAGGCGATCATCGCTGCCGGTGAATCTGTTAATTTCCTGCCGGACGCGCCCCTTCGCGAGGATGGGGACATCAGCATCCTAGCCCACAACTTTTACTGGATCATTGACACCACATTCCACGACATGCTTTGGGCACGAATTTCCCCTTATGTGCCACCCTCTATCAATGGTCGCATGGTCCGAGGCATCAATCGTCGCTTCCGTGTGTACAGGTATGTTCCCGGAGCCGAATATCGGTGTCACATCGACGGAGCTTGGCCGCCGTCCGGTATTCTTCCTGATGACACATACGTGTACGACTCTTCGCCTGAGGAAAAGAAACAGAGCTCGATGTACACATTTCTACTATATCTCAATGATGAGTTTGAGGGCGGAGAGACGACATTCTTCATGCCAGCCCCGCGGGAAGGGACCCTCAACGGATACCCGGTGCGACCTGTGATGGGAGCTGTTGCGATATTCCCTCATGGGGAGTCGAATGGGGCCTTGCTACATGAAGGTACAGGGGTGAGGAAGGGAGCAAAATATATCATTCGGACTGACGTAGAGTACGATGTGAAGCCTTGTGGAGAGTGATGATAAAGACATGAATTATGTAGATTTGTTTTGCAAGTAAAACGCCACTGAAAAGAGCCATGATGGTGTGCATGCAGCATTGGTCAAATAAGAGCTCTCCAGTGCTACGAGGTATGTAATTTTTCCTTGAAGATCTCAATCAAATAGCGAACCTTTAGAATGCCATCCCTTCTGCGTTATCAAAGTTGAACAGGTACATGTCATACCTTGATATGCCAATAAGATCTCTAAGATAGAGTTATTTTGCTTCTAATGATTCAGAGCATATCCTCATTGGGGATCGCACAGGGATTATTCCATCTTCGGCGGAGCAAATGCCACTCTATTCAGACCTTGGCATTCTTTAACTCTAGCAGGATATTATCCCTAGAGGGCTGTGGATCTTCAGGTATTATCTCCTAGAAAGGGGACCAAAGGGGGGGAGACACAGTGACAATAAGAAGCAGAGACTACCTGACATGAAAGGAAAACATATCACTTTTGATCTTCGCAGAAGCCAACAGAGAAAAACGTTTTCGACAAGACATTGTACACTTGTTCATTACTGGTATATACACAGCATTTCCCCAGTCTGTACACCAACTGACCTCCTTAGACCAAACTTTCAAGATGTTTGTCATAAGTGTACCCAAAGTTCTTACACTTTGCCTCCTTTTCCTTGCAACAGCGCATCTTTCAATGGCGGAGTGCTGTCATGGAGTGGGCAAGAGACACTGCTCAACAGACGCCCTGGGCACTGAAATTTGCAAGAAACTATGCGCAGATGGATCGAAGCCAAACCCGTTTTGTGGCAAAGGAAGTAAGTAAACCCATGGAACTCGTGAATTTGGGTCGATCACTAATGAAAAGAAAAAAAAAAGAATGTGATCTTCTTGGCTGCAACTGCAGTGAGGGATGTCGTAAGTAACCTGGAGCTGAGCTATGAGCAGGTTTCATTGAACTTCTGTTCTCAACTCGAGGGGCTATCTTGGGAACCTGGTGGCTTGCGATAATTATAGTTCTACTGTCATTTTTACTATCTTTCTCAAAGAGAACTGCTCGGTTATTCTCGTCAGGGATGATGCAATGTGAACCACTGGGGCAAGTCCGTATACATAATTCTTGGGGTTTGCGACATCATCATAGATGGATAATGGCCCGCGTTAAATGAGGCTGCTAAGAGAATCTAAGATCATATTTACAAATTCGGTAGCTCAGTAGAACATTCCAAGTGGTGCTTTCCACGCTCTGTCTTGACCCTGTCCAGACACCGGGGACCAAACTTGGTTAGTGGAGAGCAACCGACATATACTGCCCGATGGAGCGCATGGAGGACTTTTCGCAAGACACGGTCGGCCTGGCGGGGGGAGACCTCTTCAGGTAACGCGAAACGAGAGTGAAGGCTCTCGCGGGGCGTGGTGTACAATGGCAGCCACTGCGGCAGGGTCGGGGCCTGTCAAGAGACTGTCTGTATAGCCTGAGAGGACGGATGCGCGTGTCAGTGTACAAACAACCGGGAACCAACTACCTCACTCGCACTGAGGGCCTGAGATCAGGTTAGCCTGGTTGAAGCGGTCCCGTCCTAGTTGATTTGCCCGTGATGTATGCCTAAGGAGCAAACTGAGAGACACCCGGGGTGAGAGAGGCTTTGTCCACCTCGAGAGTCCAGAAACCTCATTTATCGGGTGACAAACTGGGGTATCGGTCTATGCAAGTAAACCTGTCGGAGCTACTTAATGTCTTTTGGGCCACGTGGCGACGGAATCGATTTTGAAAATAATGGCGGGACGGACCGCGACGCGAACCCCTGAACCGCCCGACCGGCTCGTTCCTTCCGCTAGCTATATTTATAAACCTCCTTGGTTCGGTTATCTCGCCTCTCTAGTAGTTCTTTCTATCGACCACAACTATAAGAACCCTAATATAGCTGATATATATTTAGAAGCTTCTAGACATTCTAGACTAGTAGCGAAATCCTAACCAAGCAGATATAAATATAGCTGTGGTTATCACATATATCTACTTGGAGTTCAAGGATACTTTCAAGTTCGCGGTTTAGAAAAAGCTCATTCAGAACCACGGTCCTGGTCCTTCCAGTAGTCTTGCTGCCTGAGGCTTCACGAATTCTCATCTTCTATAATTCCCATCCTTGTTCAGTTCCACGTGTTTAATTATTATACACACGGTCATGGAGCCAGACCCATAAAACGATGGTCTTGCTGTTGTCCAAGTGTGGCTGGCAATGTTTCCAAAAGGCTGGGACAGACTATGAATCAATTAATCGATCGATTGGCATGTGGTTTCATAGATCCCAGTTTACTTCCAGGAACGCAGCATCTATTCCTAGGAACGTAGCTGATGGTCCTGGAGATCCGTTAACTCCTGGGAACCCATATGTTGGCCCTTGGAGTCTTTCCACCACAGCATATGTAGTGTATTGTATGTCGGAGCATACAGACGTTCCCTTTCGGCCTACGCTTGTTCGAACCGCCGATGGCCCCGTACTGGAGCCGTCAATCGCCGACTCCATGAAAACCCAACATCTTGCTGTTTTTGAGGCTTCTCACCCAATATACAAATAAAATGTATTGGAATAATGAGTTACCTGATAAGACATCCCTACGAGGTACAGTTCAAATCTACCTAGTTCTCTCGCTGGATGACATATGACTATGCTCGACGGTTCACGCCTACTAGACTTGCTCAATCTCCTGATCACTTCAGTGGAAAACTCTACTCGACACCTAGGCTTGTGGACCAGAGAAAGGGCAAAGCGTGAAACTTGGCCAGGGCGACCGCCGGCTCCCTTGTTTGAGGTCCAATTCCCATCATCACCAGGCTGTGCTCGTAGGGATAGACACCTGGCCCTAAGCCCGTTTATTAAACTAGAGCCGGATTAACATTGGGCCACTCACTTTGCTCTACATACCCAAAAGAAATACGTCACATTGAGAAAGATTTTACGAAGCAAGAAGGCCTTTATCCGCCCGAATAATTCAAGCTTTCTTCAAGATTCAACCTGATGTCAAGCTATCGCTAGAAGATCAATGATAAAGTTCATTCAGGGCTTAAACCAGGAAATTCTCGAAATTCGGTATCAGTTACCAAGCCATCGTGGGATGCAATATGCAGATTGCGGCAACTCTTGCTGACACATGGTCACGCATGATACTGGAATCCCATTCTTCACGCCAAATCTCTCGTTCTGCGCTGCGCGAAAGCAGTTTATAATTTTATTTAACTTAGGAGGCTAGCTATATGTATAGATGCTTTGCCTACGCTCGAAACGTACGAGCCCCTGGAAAGGTGCTTGAGCAAATTCTCCGCAGTTGCGCGATGACTGGCATACGGGAAAGGGCCAATAGTATGAACATGCAGTATCTTAAATTACAGTGATGATTAATTAGGCAAGATGTAGAAGATAGCTTTGCAGACGTGATTGAGTTTCGTCTATTGCTGCTTGACACAATCTGGAATTCGGCCCAGGTTAACACACTGCTGTCGGTACTCATCTATGAGAATTTCAATGCGTTTGATTTCAGCCTTAAACCATTTGATAAGGCGTGGGTCCTTAGATAAGTGAATTGAACTCGCCGCCAGGTTGTATTGATATCTCATTTGCGTCAAAGCACTGAATGCGGTTTCTGGAAAGGAACGACCGAATTCGGCTGCGAAAAGAGGATCATAGCTCACTAGACGCGAGTGGCTTAGGTCTGTGAAGTGGTTTTTGATTTGCCTGACAGTGGCCTGTTTAACTGCAAGGTCAAACTGGCTTTTGCCCAGAGGAATGGCCAGGAGGACTGCATCATGAAGGCCGTGCTCTACTGATCGAATCTCTAATTGAATATGATCCAGGGCATGGTATCCGTTCGAGCCTTGAGTGTAAAGATCGCAATTTAGGGAGGTTTGGATACGCATAGTCTATATGTCAGTGTTACGGTGGTTCTAGAATGGCGAGGGATACTGACTGCTAAAGGCTCCATCTTCCCAGTGTCAGTCTTAGTTAACATTTCACCAAGTTCACTTTTACTTCGCGATAAATGGTTTCCCGGAAAGGGAGGCCTTTTTTTTTTTTTGGGTGGACAACCACCGCTCATCTATAAGACGACTAAGTCGAGAAAATGACCCTGTATCATTGCATGAACAGCCAATCCCTCAGCCAAAAGTATAATTTTGTCCCTTACGTATCCAGAGGCAACCGAGAAGTTTGGTCTTTTATTGCGTATGCTCTTAGCACTAGAGCGGGGGCGCACTGAGCCACAGACACGTCGAAGGCCCGGCAGAATGGAGTATAGTCGAAGGTCTAGATTATTAGCAAGCGACTTAAACTTATTATTAGTTAGAGTATTACTATAATATAATTCTAGTACTAATATATAGTATATTAGGTATAGTAATCTAAAATAGGGGGATAGATATAGTTTATATACTTATATACCGACTTTCTTAAGAATTAGAAATAGACTTAGTATTTTATAATCTAGTTTCTTACTTAGCCTACCTATTTCTATATTCTTACTCTTAAGATATACCTAATTACTAACTTTAAAGGATTTATCTATATAGTATTTATCTATATAGTGCTTTATCGACTCTTTTACCTTAGAAAGTTACTCTTTTATAAAGCTCCTTATTTCTTAGATTTCTTATACCCTTTATATAATATCTATATAGTACTCTTTAGGATACTCTTTAATACTATCTTAGATAGATAGGTTATATTCTATTAATACTTTATATAGTGACTTTCTAATTATACTATAAGTTATTATATTATATATAAATACTGTGATAGGGAGCTAATATACCTAGTTATCTTATTCCTAGTTAATATATAACTATAAGAAATACTCTAGTACCTAGTTTTAATATTTAGTCTATCTATTAGTTTAGAGGTAGAATATAGTAGATAACTAGTATTTAATTATAAGAAGGAAGTAGAAGGTTAACTAGAATTAGCTAGTAAAAAGGCTATCCCTATTACTTACTAGGTTCTTTAGTATACTAAAGATTAGAATTATATATTTATATAATAAATCTACTAACTTAGATATATTAATTTCTTTTATATAAGGAAGATAAAGGATATACTTAGTAAATATATCTATTAAGACTAATACTATATTATATACCTTACTATTCTACTATAATAAAGGTATTCTAGTAATAAAATCTATACTAAGCTACTTACTAGGCCTTTTAGGTACTAGTAATAGCTGTAATAATCTATATAGCTTATACCTATAAACTAAATTATATTAATAACTTATATAGTTATATATATACTCCCTTATATCCTTTATAATTCTATACTAATAGAACTTATATTAGATAGCTTTAAGGGTATATTTACTAGTATAATAGCCTCCTTAGGGATTATTATAATATATCTTTATAATTTTATATAAGATCGCAGTCTCTCTTAGGATATAAATATAGTTATTAAACCTAAGTAGCCTATCTAGTATTAATCCCTAAGGTATATTACTTAGCTTTTATTTACTAATATTATCCTCCTCTATTTTTATATAGATATCTTATAATATTAGATCTTAATCCTATATTTAGACATCGGCAAAGCCCAGCATGGGCCCAAGATTTCAGCCCATAGCCCAACCTATATGGGCTATGGGCCCAGCTCCCCTAGGCCCAGCCCAGCCCATAGCCCAGTGGGCTAAGCCCATAAACCCATAATGGGCCTATTTTAGCCCATTTTTATATTTTATACAGGTCTTGGCGCTCATAAGTCAGATTACATAAGATTAATAAATTACAGGTTTTTATCACTTGTTTTAGTCTGGTAAAAAACATGATTACCTTACCAATTCATCTAATCTATCTATCTATAAATGCCAAAAATGATGCTATTCCTAGATCACCTGACTAGTTTATCTAATCTACGCACAAATACTAAAAAAAATGATCTATCCATAAATATTAAAAATGAAGCTATTCCCAGATCACCTTACCAATTCGTCTGATCTCTGTACAATGCAAATTGGTCTGATCTCTGTACAATGCAAATTGGTCTGATCTCTGTACAATGTAAATTCGTCTGATCAATTTAACTACTACCAATAATTAAGATAATTTAATTCTAAAAACAGGATTTAAATGCTAGATAGTAGAGAGTATCTAACTGATTAAATGCGACCGTAATTTATTGCTAGTTACAGTATAATTATACGAATAAGTTGGGACCAATTTGCATTATACAGAGATCAGACGATTTTACATTGTATAGAGATCAGACGATTTTGCATTATACAGAGATCAGACGATTTTGCATTATACAGAGATCAGACGAATTTGCATTGTACAGAGATCAGATAAATTATTAAATGTTTATAGATGATCATTGGTATGGTAGAAATATATATATCAGAATATCGCAGAGATATATTATTAAATATATATTAGTAACTATGCTAGGCATATGCTTAGCATATGTATGAATTATAATTGGATGAGAGCGCTGTAATAAGAATACAGGCCTAAAATTGCATTAATTATGTAGGTAGATCACTGTATTATATAAGGCCCATATGGGCCCCCATCGTGGGCTATGGGCCTAGGGTATCAGCCCATAATTTAGCGTGGGCCGAAGAAGTCAGCCCAAAGCCCAGCCCATTGGTGGGCCGGGTGGGCTTTGCCGATATCTAACTAGGAGTAAGATAGCTAGGTATACCAGCTTCCTATCGCAGTATTTATATATAATATAATAACTTATAGTATAACTAGAAAGTTACTATATAAAGTATTAATAGGGTATAACCTATCTATTTAAGATAGTATTAGAGAATACCCTAAAGAGTATTATATAGATACTATATAGAGGGTATAAGAAATCTAAGAAATAAGGAGCTTTATAAAAGAGCGACTTACTAAGGTAAAAGAGTTAATAAAGTATTATATAGATAAATATTATATAGATAAATTATTTAAGGTTAGTAATTAGGTATATCTTAAGAGTAAGAATATAGAAATAGGTAGACTAAGTAAGAAACTAGATTATAAAATACTAGGTCTATTTCTAATCTTTAAGAAGGTCGATATATAAGTATATAAGCTATATCTATCCCTCTATTTTAAATTACTATACCTAATATACTATATATTAGTACTAGAATTATATTATAGTAATACTCTAACTAATAATAATATTCCTAAACTAATTAAGATTAATAATTAAGTAGAATATAAGATCGAATATATCCTATTCTATTAAAGTAAGAAAAATAGGTCCTATTTAGTTAAGTAGTATAGCTATAATAATATTAAAGTAATCTAGGAACTATAGTCTATAGTTAAGGATACTAAGGTCCTTAATAACTATAAGGCTAGGATAACTATAGTAGTAAAGATACTAAAAAAGATAAGGACTAAGAATATATACTTAAAATATAAGAAGCTTTAATTATAGATTAAAATTTAGTACTATATTCCCTATATTTACTAGAATTTATATATAGGTATAGGTAGGGTTAGTATACCTAACTAGACTTAAATACTAATAAAGTAGTATTAAAAATATAATAAAGTAGTAAAATAGACTCTATACCTAAGATACCCTAAGAAGTAGGGACTAAGTTTTTAGGGATAAATAAAGTATTACTAGGTATACCTATATTAGGAACCATACTTTCCTCTAGAATACTAGTAGGAGTATTAAAGAATTCCTTAACTTTAGAGATTTCTCCTATATTTTCTACAATTCTTAGGACCCTAATAACTTCTATAACTTCTATAATAGTAGTAGCCTTTTTAGCTTTATTAGCTATATAGATTAAGTGCTTAATATTCTGCTTAATAATATATACTTAGGGTATATAAGTATATATAGGTAATATATTAAAAGTAGTATAGGTAGTAGTTTAAACCTTAAAAAGAAGCTATACTATTATTAATAATAAATTCCTCCCTATAATAATATAGTTAAACTTATAGGGATATAACTATATTTTACTAAAGAGTAGTAAGTATATTTAATATAACCTATAAGGATCTTATACTTATAGTCTAGGTAGCTTTATAGCTAGAAAAAGTACTACTAGTAAGGTAATAGCCCTTTAATAGGCTTAGGGGTTTCTAAGTATAGAGATAGAATTATAGACCTATAGCCTACTAAAAGATAATATTATACTTATAGATATAGAGATTTATCCTCCTTAGAGGAGGATAGTATAGGATAATAATATACTATTATTATTCTATAAATATAATTAGTATATAAATATATAAATAAGGCCGTTTTCTATAAGGAAGGGATAGATATAATATTAAATTTTCTTAGTATACTATATAGAATATAATACTACTAAATCTAAAGATATATTTACTATATTTACTAGCTAATAGTAGTACCCTAATTAGAATAATATTATCTTAATAGAAATTTAATAGAAATATAAATTAGGTATATTTACTAAGTAAATAAGATAGGGGGTTAAAGAAGAGAAGAAGATATTAGGGGTAACCTAGGTATATATATATATAGTATTCCCCTTTATCCTAACTATATTCTCTTACTAGTAAATAACTACTTAGCTATACCCTTATATATAGGAGATACCTAAGTTTATAGGCTAACTAAGATACTATATTTATTAGAAACTATAGCTATCTGATTCCTTAGTATAATTATATAACCATACTACTACCTTATTATATATACTATACCTTTTATTATACTATCTTCTATATTTTTAGAGTATTAATACTAGATACCTTTCCCTATATACCTTTTTACCCTTACTATAAGGTTTTTAGATATATAGGTTTTAATAGACTAAGCTACTCCCTTATTTCCTCCTATTCTAAAAGCCTATAGGGACTATATACTATAAGGAGGGGGATATTATTAGGACCCTAGTACTAAGAAGGCTAATACCTAAGGTATTATACCTATTAAGGTATAT